GACAATATCGCTGCGAAGTGGATCAAAAGTGAGTTGAACGCTTCTTTATATATATATATAAGTCCTTGGGTGATTCTTGACTCTCCACAAAGGGATGAAGATTTGGCAGTCCATTCTAAGCACTGCTTGAGTGGTTCAGAAGCTGGGAGGCACCTCGGCCCGCACACCCTGTTTGAGGCAGGAAAACTGTAGCCGCAAGGCCATGCGAAGCTCGGCACCTGGCGTCCTTCACCGAGGCAACGCAACAATGTGGCCTCGCAATTGGCCAATCCGAACCCCTTCGCCATGCAGATGCAACAAATGCAGCAATTTGCCACTTGGCCCCGAGAACTTGCGAAAGGATCGAAAGGGTTTTTGAGGTGCCGGTGGAAGTGGTTTGTTTGAATGGTTGAGTGGTGATCATGTCGTGGAATTATTGTAGACTTGTAGACAGTTAGACTGTTAGACCATGTTAGACTTTGCTCCCTGTTCAGGAATATGCATGAGTACTATGAAATACTCAACAAATGCACGTTGAACACTCAGGAACGGGGATCTGAATAAATCGGATTATTTGAAGTGGTTTGTTCGAGAGATCGCTTCCGTTCATGGACATGCCTACCACCTTCGCACATTCGGGCTGAAGAAATTGATTGCCAAATACAGATCAAATCTGGGACGATAGTGACGATCGTCATGTGTCACTTAATACCGCTCAACCCGCGAGCCTGAGCATCGCTGGTCAGCCCGTGTCACACCACCCGATCCAGGCTCCGCAGTTCATGGGTCCGCCCATGTTTCAGCTCACCCCGCGGGTGGAGCAGGGCACTCCGACCATCACAACGGCAGCTCCGACCACCGCCTTGGCGATGCTTGGAGTTGGAAGAGTTGTGAAAGAGAAGAGGTGAAGCAGTTGGTTGATGAGTTTGAGTCCATATCAACATATATCAACTGAAATTTGTATTTCCCATTAAAAAGGGAACGTTTAAGCGGCAACACGACTGGCCAATTTAGGGACTTCGACCTCACCAGGTTCGCCGACTGATGTGCAAAGAACAGTGACTGAGACCTCACCAGGTTTGAGACCTCAGTCTATTCCATCGATCGGTGCGATGACGTGAAGAATTGGACTGCGACACGGATTTTTTGTTTCTGTAGGGGACTCTGAGAGACTGTGGGATAAAGTGGTAAACCAGAGTAGATTGCACTGATCGCATATGGGTTGGTTCAGCTAGTATAGATTTGTTGGTTGATTCATGATGCTCCAAAGCTCTATAGAGGAGAATATACAAAAATATCAAACAGTTGTGTTGTACATACAGCAAAAAAAACGTTTCCTGTGAATAAACTTACCCTTTAAAGATTCAATCAAACAACCAATGTACACAGTACATGCACCACGTGTCCGGGGTAGTTGTTCGTGGGTCCGGCTTGTGCAGCATTCTTAGCCCAACTGCGTGATATTCGTGTCGATCCGCGGTCGTGGGGTTATACATGGTTCTACCATTGGTCAATGCATCCCAAGCCCCGCCTTTTGGGCCGATCCATGCTGAGCCCGTCTTTTGTCCTGGAATGACACGACAAATTTGATGAAGGCAGGAATCGGCAACTGCACCGCATTTGATTTGTCAATGGTGGCAGAATCAGGGTCAGCATGAGTTAATTTGCCGGTTGAGATTCTAGATTCATGTAGCGGGGGAGAACGGCTGGAAAGAGGTGAACTAAATAAATAAATATGTATATACACTAACATACATCAATCAACTATATATAGTTATATCATATTATATCCGGTGTCGGAATCGCTTCGATTCAAGACTCCAGGATGCGTAATAGCAATCGTCTCACCGCGGTTCATTACCTCGACCGGATCAATCGACCGAGGACGGTGAGCCCCGAAGAGCAGGAGAAGAAGCGGAAGGCACAGCAGGCGCGGTGATGCGTTCCGGAGAGGTTCTCCTGGCGCTTTGGGAAGAAGTGGGATGAAGTGTGCGTTGGGAATGCTTCAGAGGGATTCAGTGAATTTGTATGAGTGGGTTAAGTCTTACCATCCAAACCCACGGATAAAGGATACTTATCATGTACAGTAGTCAGTCAGTATAGTCGAGTTGATTTTGTGGTGCCCCGTGGCTCCGGCTCAGCGGAGCAGTGGACAACTCGTGGACTTCTCTCGTGACTACTCAATTGAATTGGGGTATAGCGGGGTATAGCGGTCCCCAAATAGATAGAAACGGTTTCCAATACATATTGAAAGGGCTTGACTTTTCTATCTATTTGGGGGTCTATCTATATATATATATATAATTCTATATATATACACACACTGGGGTTCTGGGGTAGTTGTGTGGGGATAGCCCGAACAATTGTTGTTTTACTCATCGGTTATATATATGTCCTGTGGATTTGGTGTCCTCACTCTGATCAATGTGGCAGTGAGGGTTATGTCCCAGTTTTTTTGCAAAACACACAACTACACTTGACATGGCTGTGAGGTAGGTGTGGTATCAATTTTCCATAATTTTCCCTACCAAACAGTCAAAAACAACTACTGTTGCAAATTTTAAGATATGTGAAAGCGGCTGTGGCGACGACCAGTCGTCGTCGCAAGCTACAGGAGGCGATGGCACTGCATCACGACTTGCCACTTGGCCCACGGCGATGTTCCGCACGGGGAGGGATGTACCGCCTGTCCTGTACGGAGGGTGTCCAGCTGATGACGAACTTAGTGCAAAGCTGCAAGTCCAAGGATCCATGAGGATCCATGATGGATATTGAGTGTAGTGGTAAGTGGCACTCCCTGGATTTTGCACCAATCTTTTGCGCAACGGTCTTTCGAAGAGTTCAGACCCCGATGAGCAGAAGCCTCCGGTTGTCGGAACGCCTCGGGAATGCCAGGATTGGTTGCATCGCCGCAAACCACGCCCATCCTAGGGTTATGGCCATAAAGTGCCGGAGAAAAATTCTGAGGTTGATGGCGCATACCTCGCTGCAAAAACAGCATGCTGATCTCATGAAGGCTCACAAGGAGATCTCGCGAGAGAAGCAAGACCCAACTTACAGCTGCCCACGTATACTTCTTGAGGTGTCCTGCGCGCCACAGGTTTCATGTGCTGTGTTTTTTAGTAATCCATCCGAGCTTTTTTGCCGTTCAAAAGTATTTCAGAACAACGGGAATATCACCAAACCGATGGTTTTGTGCAACAGAGACACATTCCACTGTTCTCCTTTGTGATCACTGAATTAACCAGAATTGAGTAATTCACTTGGAAAGACAGACCACTCGAAAGCTGTAAGCAATCAGATGCGACGTTGCAACTTTCCAAAACTGATCATGATTTTGGAGGTAGTATTTCCCTAGCACCCATCATCCAGCTGTCTCCTCGAGGTTCTCAGCAGCCGTATTCTTCCAACATGTCCCCGTAAACGCCATCCAAGGTGGCGTGGACACAGACAGTTGTCCCGATTGTACATTCTCTGGTAATTATGCTCCAACAGAACAAGATCAAACTCATTATGCCCAAAACAGATGACCACCATTTTTTTCCTTTTTGCTGGCATGCCTTTTGTAATGTGATCAAGCATCAAAAGAGCTCCCTTTTTTGGGGGGGGGTCTTAACAATAGTATCCATTTCATGTCCTTTCATTGTATTGAATGTTCGTCAGGAGCTCATTCAAGCCTTCAAGAACCACAGCTTCGCTGCGGCGGGCGCGGCCAACCCCAACGCCAAAGTGCCTCTTGGTCGCCAATAGCACGACTCTGGTGAAACCGGGGGAGGGGAGGGTGGACGGGTGGATGTTGTCGGGGGCTTGCACTGCAACTAATAGAAGGCCAAGGAGGTGCTTTTTATCCAGAAAACCACCTAGACCTAGCGGTTTGGATGGGAGTGCTGCCTTTTGTTTTTTTTTTTGGCAGGTGACCCGCATTTCTGAATGTTTTGTTGCAGGTTTTTGGCCTTGTCCAAGCTTTAAGGTGGATGTGCTGGTTTGGGGTGGATCAGGGCGCTGCACACATTCTTACGTGAACTTTCTGCTAAGCTTCCTTCAAAGAGTTGACCAATTCCTTGAAGAATCTCCCAAAATTTCCACTCCAAAAGATGCCTCCAGCTTAGCCACCGTACTCTTTCCCAAAAAACCTTCCCCAGTCAACCACGCCCCCAGTCAAGCGTCGGCGAGCGTCGCGGAAGCGCACGGAACTGGTGCCTTTTGTGAGGCAAACGAAGCATCCGGCACTGGGCGTCGTGCGGCTGGACTACGACTACCCGCCAGCGCCCGGAGACTCCGACCATCCAGGCGACTAGACTCGTGGGAGATCGCAGTCCGGACCGTGAGAGGAGGAGATGCAGGAGTCACAGAATCGAGGATTCTAACACGGGTGAGACTCGTGGGTATTGTTGGCTGGGCCAAGAGTTGTTTTTGCTGGGGAATTCATTTTGTTCATGTTTGTTTTTTTGTAGCAGACAAAACTGCAAAGCCATGGAAATTCAAAGACAAATTCAAATCCTTGACATGATGATACCTGATGTTCTTCAACTGCCTGCACTGGCCTAGAAATCACTGACCTTTGCCCAAGCGCCGAAACGGCCTTCAGCAAGCTTCGGCTATGACGTCTACTTCCGCTGTGTACCTGGCTTGACCTTCGAAATGTGCCGCTCGATGGCTTGATGACGGGACGGAGCAGGTCGGATGGAGCAGAAGAGATGTCGGGCGGGGTCCCAAGGTAGGAAACCCTTTCTGTGTTGGTCGTTGGAGCCGACCTGGAACCCCCCAACAAATGCTTGAGCAGATCTACCTGTATGAGACACAGATCAATGTTGGTTCTTGGGGTTGGAACACAATACCCCAAAACTTGAGGTTGATTTTTCATGCTTGGATGAGACACCTTTTTCCCACTGGATAAAGAAAAGATCAGAAAACACTCAACAACTCCACTTGATCAGAGAGAGCTTCCAGTGATCCGACTCGGACTCCAATTGGGCAGAGCGACTCGGTCCGAGAGGTGGACTCCCGAGTCGTCATGGCGTGTTGGCATGTTCGGATGTTGGGAGGGGTGCTGGTGGCTGGTGAAAACCACACAGTTTGGTCTTTCTTTGCATCAACGTAACTCATACATCCACCATGAAAACAGGCTTCCCACATCACGCTATGCCATATCTGTGGCACCGCGTGGCATTTCTCGCAGCAGAGAGAGCACTTATTGAGGCCAGACAGGGAAGTTCACGGAGGAGGTGGAGCGGCGCTTTGCCGATGCCATCAAACACTTGGAGGCGGATGTGGATGTGTTGAACCGAGGGGAGCGCGGCGAGGGTACGCTGTGGTTTTGTGAAGTTTAGGTGGTGATCTTGCGTGAAGATGTTGTTTGACCTTTCTTGAGGCAACCAGCCGATTTGCTGGCTAGCCTCTATTTAAGTAACATGGTATCATTCCGCAAGACGGCATTGGCCCCTTGGGCTTGACAATGGTTCATGTTTTTGCTAATGTTTGTTGGAATCATGAGGTGCACTTCGGAAGGTTGCCCATGTTGTATACTATACATTATGTGATATTATGTGTATATACCATTGTTTACCTCCAGCAAACAGATGTAAGCCTAGCAGCAGCATAAGCCTGGCACCAGGAGCATGTCCTTTTTCTGCCACCTGGACAGCTGAAGCCCAGGCTCGTGGAGTCTCCGCCATCACTGGAGACTGTGGCTTCATGTCGCTTAGAGACGAAAGCGGTGACGAAACGGGGGCGACGAAGCGACCATTTGGAGCCCAAAAGGCGAGCAGGTTGCCACAATTCTCAGTTGCCTATGAGGACCACTCCCATCACAAGATGCCCACGGGGAACTCGCAAGTTAGCAGGACACGGTTAGGCAGGAAGTAAGCAGAGTCCGGCTAGAAGAGTGCTAGTGCGCTGCATCTTTGCGCGTACGCTACAAAAGTGTTGTTTATCATCAATGCTTGTCACCACCTAGACCTAAAGGGTAGGCTACAAAAGTGTTGTTTATCATCAATGCTTGTCACCACCTAGACCTAAAGGCACTCACATCGTTCGCCTCACATTTGTTGTGAAAAAATAGAAAAATGTGAAAAAGTGAAAAAGTCGACTCGTTTCTTTTCTGCAGCAAGCCCATACATGTTGCTACTGACGGAAGAATCCTGCACCACTTTGGTGAGGCAACGGGTGCAGGGCTGCTGGTCCGTCAGGTGTGGATGACTCATGTGTCAAAGCGGTGCAGGATTTCCTCTGTCAATAGTAGTACCACGCCGCAGACGCAGCGAAATCCGGCTTATGGGTATATCAAACGATTGTGCTTCGCGAATATGTTTAAAGCTTCTAGCGCTGGGCAATCAACACAGGCAGGTTGCCAAAGAATTGTGAGTGAAAGCTAGCTGCTCAACACCACAGAACAAGCGCCCTTCACAATTTGCAGTACACTGGTCGATTCGTTTTCATTTGTTCATTTGCTTGGACAACTGATGAGATTCTGGGCAGAGCACTGCATGACCGTCATGACCCACCCGGTCGATTGATTTCCTGCTGAGGATGGCATTCCAAGTGCTCGCGAGGTCCCGCTTTGGTGGGTTGCTTGGTCGGGTGCAGTGGCCTCAGTGGCCCTGGTGATTGCAGTTACCTTCCCAATCCGATGTTATTCATTTGAGGTTCCAATATGTTTAAACCAAGGGTCCTGGCCTTCTATGGCCCACATATACATATAAAAAAGAATTGGTTGTTGCAGGGATTAACGATTCGGCTCTGAGACAATGCTGGAACGCTGCGTTCAGCGGCATCAGAAACTTCACAACCCAATCAATTGACAACTGGGGGCCGCTGGGCCACTCAACGTTTTTTGCGGTTTTTTGTCCAGAAAAGGAAGTGACAAAAATTTTGGCAACTGTTTCCAGGTCGTCACTTCCTTTTCTGGCCATACAGTATCCACAAGAACACTGAAAGCGGCCACAACGCCCAAATCCATCCAAATTCGTTTCCTGGTGGAGCCCAACACAACCCTTGAAATGGTTCGAGTTGGGCCGTCAATGTGATTCAACGATTGTTTTAGCCTATGGAACATATGAACATGCAAAAAGACCGCTGAGGACTGGGAAATCTGTCAAATTCCAGCTGCTGTGGCCTTTTTTTTTACCATCTCCCACCACTGTGGGCGCATGTCGGGCGCACAAACTCGCGGATGCGCGGGTTGCCTCACTCATGGGGCGAGTTGCCATGCGGCGCAGGAAGATCGCGGCGAAGCCGATTTTCATGTCATCGATGGTGCAGTGCCCCATCATCGCAGCCTCCATGGAGCCTTGGACAACGTGCAAGAAGCGAGTTCGCGAACCGATTCGATCGATGTGTTCAGCAGAAGAGCGTGGGAATGGCTTCTCGTCCTTGTTTTTCATCGTGCACGGCTCGAATCATTCGTTTGTGTTTTTTCTTCAACATGCACGATTCCCATGGGGACATGTTCATCCCCAAGATCGGGGACGTGATTCCTGAGCCCTGCTTTTTTCCCTGTCGGGAGATGTGTGGAGGGTCCTTCGAGACCAAGACACGGTTGCACCCGCCGTTGGTAGAGGAACATTGATGGTTTCACCTGCTGTTTCACTCATTGCTTCTTGCGCGATTTCGCAGGGGGAAGGGGTTCTTCCTAGAGAAGGGAGCAAGAGTACATGCTTGTGTATGCTTGTGCGGAATATACATAGATGCTCCGGTTGGACGTGCACAGGTTGGAGTCAGCAGCTAACATGGTTCAAAGTGCGGCTGCTGTTTTCTCGACCTTCAATGAGAGTAATTATATACGAGTACCACTCTCCTTGATGCTGGGTGCTGCATGCTCGGCAGACTTTCCAAGGACCCCAGGGATCAAATTATGGTTCTCACCGCCAACGAGCACTCCTTGAAGCGCGGAAGATGAGTGGATCTGGATCTGACGAATGTGGGGTGGGTCACATCCACTTGGCACTCTCATTTGATGTTCATTCTGATTCCAAGGGTTTCTTCCTCAAAAATGTAGGAGATGTGATGATTTGTCTCTCTCTAGCTGGCCTACGTACTGATGGAGGAATATGAAGGAGTGATCATTTTCATGACCTTGAAGCTTGATCAAAGTATGGAAACGCTTCTTGGGTTGAGGGGGACAGTTTCTACAGAACACAATATGGACCTGGGAGAGAGGTGATGTCATTGCCCAGACAAACCATTTGACATGTTCCCTTCTTGTAACTGACTTGTTCCGAAACCCTTCTTCACCGGACTCGGCGTGTGCGAAACTACGACATCCTGGGCAACATTGCAACCCATAAACCGCAACTTTCTTCATGGGTATGTAATGGTATGCACAGGATGTGTTTGTTCAGCGTTGGAACTGACTCTTAAGATCCCCCCATCCCACCGTGTCTTTCCCAAATCAAAGGGGCATCTACACAGTGGCGAAGGTTGGTGTTTTCGGTCGAGGGTCAACCGACACTAGAGCTAGCTTTTGCTACTGACCTCAAAACGATTACAGTATATATACAATGTCATTCCAGACCGAGCAAGAATCGTTCTGTGACTGCCAATAATGTGCTATTTGACCAATGAATACTTGTCTATGATGCCAGGAGCCGTACATTCACTGTCACATTTATGGTTGCTTGCGCTTGCCCAAAAGAATCCAAAAGCCATGCACTTTATAACATATATCTTATGCTGATCCCTCAAGCTAGTTCCTGGTATGCCACACAACTTTATGCGGTTGTGCTGGAAAGGCCTCAGAAGGAGATTCTGATGAACAGCTGCCACTCGGATCGATGAGAGACGGGAGAACCACAGAACCACAAGGCCCCAGGCCATCGCCCTCTATCGAACTCTAGCATCATACTCAGATTGATTCATAGCCACTGGATATCCAGATGGAAATCCAGAGATGACATACTAGAATACCAGTCAGAATCTTTGTTGGTCACGGAAGTGGAGGAAGTCAGTTGGATCCTTCCCTCGCCGACGGTCCACGTCGAAGTCAGTGCGTTTCGCAGATGACCTCCGATGAGTCGAAGGTCCCACGAGCGCTTCGGGACACGAACGAGTCGTTTTGGACACGAACGAGACGCCGTTTGCGGAAGAAAAGCAGCAATGCACAGGGCCTTCGATCGTGTACTTTGTGTTATCACATCATATCGCACCTTTTGGAAAACTGCGGGAAAAGTTTGTTGTACAGTATGTACAGATCATACTTGTATCTCACACATCCCCTGGTACAGATACCCGTGAAAACAGGTGCTGTCGAATTTGTACAGCCTGGATGGAGCTGTAAGTGGCAAGTCCAAGGTGGCTTCGACGTGGACGAGCACCGCTTCATCATTCACGGCTGTCAGGACCAGACACCGCGCTCGTTGACGTTGAGACTTGCACAGAGTCGAGAGCCCAGGCACTTCGGAGTGAGCCCAGGCACAAAGCGTAAGGAAAAGGGCACCAAGCAACAGAAAGAGCCCGAACGCCGAACGGGCGCCGTGCGTCTCCCCACACCGGGCGTAACTCGCACGTCCGCGGCGCAACTCGCACGTCCATGCCATGCCACGAGGACATCCCCGGCTTTGACGCGGTCGCCAAGGGCGAGAAGGTGCCCTTGGACATTGTGCAACCAGGCCCGAAAACTCGTGGTGGCACGGACGGCATGAGAGATCTGATCAGGAAATTTCCGCAGGACAGTCATGAAACTAAAAGGGAGATGCCGTCGTTCCACAGGACATTCAGGACCTCCGTCAAAAGCTGCTTCCCCGTTTCGGTCTGTGGGGTCTAGTCCGCTGGTGGACCCACTGCCAAGAGGAATCGTGAAGATGGCGCTGAAGCTGATTGAAGAGAATCCGTCACTCGGCTTCGCTGGGCGAAGAAAGGGTCCTGAGCGGGGTCGTGGTTTGTATTGAAAGCGGGTCGTCCAAGGAAAACATTAAACGATATTAAACGTGCATTTGGTGTGGAGTAGACCAGGTGAGAAATGGTTACAGTATGGTAGTTGATGGTCGTTCATTGAGTTAGTTTACATTCCGGCTACTTGCAAAGGTTCCCAATTAGATAGAAAATAGGTCTGGGAATGGACGCGTTTGATCGATTTTTTGTGGGGGGACTGATCCTGGAGATCGATCTCCTGCAGATCGTGGTTAGCTGGATGTGTTCAGGCTGCCTTCCACAACACAACAGATGTTGATCTCCTTCATTGATCCTCAAATCGACCAAGGCTCCATCACATTCTTGCACTCTCGAAACTCTTCCAGTCAACAGCAAGCTGACGCAGTGCACTCGCACCCTTTCACTCACACTCACTTGAGCCAAAAACAACAGTCGTTCAAAACTGTGCACTCGACTCACTTCAAATAAGCCCCAAGCACCATCCTCTAACCTTGCCACTTCTGTGCATGAACTGGCATCACAAAACCCATGATCCCAAAAGACCTTGCTTCGGTGACAGTGACCTATCGAGGGACAACATGAGCACACAGATTTTTTTCCAGGCACAGCAGGAAGTCAGATTTGTTCTTAGACTGAGCTGATGTTTTTCTATTTGACAATAGCAGCCCGGCACTAGAGTATGTTTGATATTTTTGATAGTATAGATCAGATACTGAAAGATTGACAGTGTAGAAGTAAAGCCTTCTGAGAAATTGAATTCCTTTGGGATCCTGGCTATTTGGTACACCATTTCTTTCTTACTGTAGTGAGTAGCTACGTTTGCAAGTAACTCTATTTCTATTGTGTAATTATATCAGATATTATGTACAAACATTTTACTTTTGTGTGATGTTTGCCTTTGTCGTAGATGTTCCTGCTCGGATGTATGATAAATTATTATATATATATGATAATATATTATATGCATGTATATAATATATATGTGAATATGTATCGATAAATGATATATATATATATATAATTCGTGTGTGTTTCTCTACTGATCCCTTATCCATGCATAAAAGTATACCCATATTCTATGTTGGAACCTCACCAACATAGGTGAATTTGTCAGAATGGATTGTCTTGGTCTTCAACCAGCCATGCCTCATTCTGTCAGAAATGGCGGCATTCGGCACCTGAGGAACATCCGCGGCATTCTCCTGGAATGCACTGAGCTTCCACCCTATGCTGATGCCCTGCGCTATCATACTGGCTTGCCGGTCTGGGATTCCATTACAGCTGCTCGAAGATAGAACGCTAACTCCTTTTAAAGCGGGCTGGTGGGAAGTTATATTCTATGGCAGTTCGTTGATGTTCGTTGGCGTAGAATTCCCACAGACAAGGTCATTTAAACAAATCTTGTTAGACATGTTTGATACATTGCCACTAGAAAGAATGGAGACTGGAGCTGCTTTGGTTAGGTATTGATACTCAATGGCAAAAGAACTCCTAACCAGATTCCAAATACAGTAGTTGCTAACTGAATCTCCCTTAAATGTGAGAATGCTGATCTTTTAGTGATCATCCACCGTTCCTGTTCCAAGCCAAAATCAACATCAACCACCATTCATTTCTTGAGACTGTAGCCTTCAAAAGGGCTTCTCCCCGGATACAGCCACTTAATAGATCACAAACTCACATGACTAGCTGAGGAGGTCGGAATGTTTGAGCAAAGCCTGACCTCATCCCCAAATCTCACATGTATCTTCTCAAAACGTGGTCCACTGGTCAAAAACGGACTCTCACGTTTTTCTTGATGACGAGGCTGCGGACTTCTATGTCGCGGCCTTTCAAGACAATCCTCGCTTCGGCATCAACGACTGGCAAAAGGACCCGTGTCTTTCGAGAGCGCGGGCGCTCGGTGCACACTCAAAAAAATCATGGTCACCTGGAGCGAAAACCGAGTTGGTTAACCTGTTTGCTATGACTATGAGGATGTATCCGATGAGCATCCTGTGGGCATCCTAGTCTGGGGCCACCTTCCACGGATTCCGTGTACACGGAATTGGACGCCCCGAGAGTGGCCAGACCGCCCACAGAGAGGTCTCGCAAGAGCGCAGGAGCAGGAGTTGGAGAAGATAGGAGAAGGAACGATAGAAGATTGCAAAAATCACTGGAAACTGAGGAAATGGTGGTACAAATGTTGAGACATTTCCAATTGCCAACTGGTTAGGAAGAACTTCTCACCACTTGCTCCTGGAAACAGAAGAACTGCTTTTAGAACGGGAATCTGGATATGGTTGGCAGCCTGAGCTGATTTCCCTCCACATGGAAGTGACACTTGGGCATGAATGTGCTACTTGAGTGCATTGTTTGTGAAGCGTATTCCTTCAGCATGTTTGCCCAAACTGTGATCTGAACTACTTACGCAATCTTACGCACATGTTGCTGCATCATTTGTGGAGAATGGAATTTAGGCAGCAAGTCAGGCAAAGCTAAGAGCATGTCATCAATCTGCCAGAGTGCATTTGGGGGTATTAGAAACCCTTCTTCCCCTGGAAGAAGGACATTAGACAAAACACATGTTTGAATGAATTGTGGCCTCCCGACCCTCCCTATTTAATACACACTCATTTCTGGGGCTCCTCCCAAAATTCCATGGCCGGAAAGCCGCATTTTGCTTGCAGGAGTGGGATGGAGAGCAGGAAGAGTATCACCTGGGGGCGCACCTCACCAAGGAGTGCACGGTTCGAACAATTCGGTGCACCAATTCGGCTGACACCGGCTGACACCGTTGCGCGGGTCGCCGAGCGGAGGAAGGGGGATTTTCGGGAGGTCAGAAGACTGAAATCGTTTTTGTCTTTGTCGCAGCACTGCAAGGCACAAAATCAAGACTTATGAGTCCAGTCGATGCCCGGCTAGCTCTGAAGCAGTCACCGCTTTAAGGCTTTTGATCTCAGCCTGTTTTCCTCAGATCCTTCCATTCAAGCCAGACTGTGGTCCAGGATGAACAGCTCCTGCTGCAAAACAAGGTCGACACCAAGAAAGAGCCCAAGCCGCAGATCCCAATCACGCAACGCTTCCTGCCACGTGCATCGTGTGCTTGCTTTTTTTGCAGGGCATGCTGTACATTGATTCTTTGGGGTCGCTATTTCATTACCTCTGTGCACCCTGAACTCCGGGTTTCTAAAAAATCAATCTCAGGCCGAATTTGCAGGGCGATGCATGATGTTGTGGTTTAATGGTCCACACCCTAGCTCACCTTAACTGCAGGGGTGGGGTTTGAAGCACGAGTGATGTGTCATAGCCACTAATTAGACCATACCGGCCCTCTCGCGCCGCATGATGTTGGAACTACACTCACGCGGCAGGCCAACTACTTTCATGGAAGTGGAAACCACTTCCTGTATGTGTACAGGAAGCGAATCTTCGAATTGTCATTTTTCACTTCCGTGTTAGTGAGTCGGAGTATAGTTTCTTTAAGCAAATGGTGTGCACCCAAATTCAGACCACGACAGCCGGCAGCGTCTTTGTTGTTGTGACGTGCCGTTTTGTGCGAAATCGTGATTGGAAACTTTCGAGGCTGCTGTTGCCCTCTAGCCGTTCAACACGAAGCCAACGAATGTACTTCTGAACACTTAGCAGATTGGCAAGGTGCTGTTTCCTTGCCATGTGTGGACAACATTTGAGTTTAGTGGAAGATCATTGCATGAAGAGCTTGCAAGGTCTCTGTGTGTCAAAATCCAAGTGTGCTGCCCCTCCACTTGTAACTGAGGACAGGAAGCAGAAGGCATTGGCGCATAAGAATCTTGAGCTTGATGATGCCAGTGGGTTCTTCAATGGCCCCACCCTTGGTGTTCCAGTCTCCTCAAATTTGAAGGTTGTTTGCACTTTTTGTTTTTCACATTTCCAGGAACATGTAAGTGTATGTAATACATATATAATATTACATAATATATTGTTACAAATATGTGCCATTATGTATGACATATTTGAGATATGATATGTGCTACTCTTTGGAATTAGCCAAACACAGTCGGTGAACCAGGAGTTTTCCAACCTCTTCTAAGTATCCCGGCCTTTGCAATTTGAAGGCCCCAGCAGCAACAAGAGATGTTCAGAGGCTTCCGGAAGAGCAACGGAGAACCTTTGGCATACCATACCCTTTAAACAGGTCCCTTTTGGTTCAAGAAGCTGTTTCCAAGCTGAAAGAAGTACCGCATGCACCGCCCACAAGTTAGGCCATCACCAAAGACGGCAACCTGTAGACCTTGCGTTGTGATTGAGCGACGTCTTTTTGGGACCCCAAAACCCCACCAAAAGAAAATAGGATGTGGGTACTTATGGCACAAGAAAACAGGAGATGTTCTCCTTGGAAGTCCTAGGAAGAAGCTGGACAAAGTGCAGAAGAAGGTGCGTCGCTCGACACTGCAAGAGGCGAATTATGTCGAATTCGCGTGAGAAAAGTCTTTGTCAACATCAGGAGTCGACAATAGTGACTTGTGTAGCCGAAGATAGTCACTTGGTCAAGCCAAGAATGAAGGGTCGACGCTTCAAACTGGTGCTGCATCAAAAATCAAACCAGGATGTTTGGCAAAGATGAGTCCAACTTACCAAAGGGTGGACATTGCTTAATTGCTGACTTTGTTGGAAGTGAAGCGCTTGCAAAAGATCAACCGCAGATCGGGTCGCTTCAAGGGGAAGCAGTCACGCGTGTGTGAGATTGTTTTAGATCTTATATGACCTTATTAAGATTAATATACTGCAAATACACATGTATATCTTATATAATCATATATATATATTACACATTATATCATGTACATATATGTTAACTTATATAGGTGTTTTTAATGCTTGGTCAGCCTTTCTCCGAAGATTTCCAGGATGTGAAAGGCATGCGGACGTCCCACGACGACTAGCTGTGCCAGCTCTCGGCTGCCAGCTGCTCTCAGGTAAGCAACAGGCACCGATCCTCGGGGTCATCCGCTTGGACTACAACTATCCTCCTGCCCCCGGGGACATTGATTTCCCTGGCAGCTATGACTATGATGTGCCTGGGGAGGTCAAAGTGGATAGAGGTCAAGGGATGACTGCTTAATGATCCAGAGAATTTGGGTCCCAGAACTTTGTAGATCTTCAGTGGGATAATTGATCCGTTGTGGACATTACATGCATCCAAAAGAATGGAGATGGATCAAAAAGCTGGCCATGTCATTAAAACATCATAGCACATCCAACGGGCCGACTGGGTGTTTGGACAACGGGTGAGTTGCTGTATGGGTTCAGAGATGCTCGTCGAGGGTCTTCGGAATTCCTCGTCCAGGTGCTCTTCCGCGTGGTGCCTGGTTTCACCTTCGAAATGGCCCAATCCGGCCAGCTGAGCCCGGACAGCCTGTGCTCTTCGTTCGATCTTGGGGACAGGTGATTGGGGAGACCAGCATGTGATCGGGTTTTGCCACGGATTTTTAATGAGCGCACGGCAGGATGTGCACAAGGAGTTCATCCAAGCAGTGGGCTGGTTGGAAGGTAAAGGCGTCTCTGGCATCACCGGTCACTTGGCCACCGGAGGACTGAGCCGTTGGTCTTTTGAGCGGAGTGTAGGTTCATTGATTTGGAACCATGCTGGAGCTGGGCAATCGCTCCTTTGCTTGGATTGCCCACTCCTCGGGATGTTCCTCCGCACTAAACTGAGTGTTGAAGAAATCCGAAGACATAAGTTTAGGGTGGTTTGTTTACCGGAGTGCTTCGACATGCCTTGGAATGCCTTGGACTGTCCTTCAACAATTAGCAGTCCAAACATACCCACAGTGCAGCCATTTGTGGACTATGTCGTCAAGCATGTTTTGTCAGCATGTTTTGTCCCACGGTCCATATTAAATTGTTTATCGTGTTTTGCTCAACAAACAATCTTCCTTGGTCCTGCTCCCAGGTGACTGTGGCTTCATGATGGCCTTCCAACCCTTGGCAAGTGCCTTGGCCTTGCATGGTCCAGTCAACTCAACAGATGATGAAGCGCTTCTGTAGACATGTTTTGACCATCCTGCAAACTCCAAGACATCACACTCTTAGTCTTAGTGTTCTCGTGATATCTCGTGATGCTGGGATTATCACACAGATTGTCGGCCTGCAAAATGCGGAGGACACGATTAATATTGAAACGTTGGGATGAAGGAAAGGTGCAACTATCAGTTCTGCCGGGCTTCGTGAGGTGCCAGCATTGACCAGAAATGGAAAAAAACCGGACGACCACCAGCATGGTTTGATCAATTCTCAGCAGCTTATCCAGCTTTTCTGTGAGATTGGTCATCGAGCGACCCGTTAATTTCCTTCTTGCTCCCTCATGTTCATGTGTATTTCACAGGGAAGCTTGGCACGGATCTGCTCTGTAGAGCTGCTAAGCGGATCAAAGAAGAGGCCAAGCCTCTAATCACTCTCGTACGGTTGGTGGACAACCCAAGATCGACTAAGTTGAATCCACCAATCTTTCAGTTTGTCCATCAACCGTCTCCCAATGCCATGTTTCTGCTTATGCTTGGCGTGTTACCTTGGACCTGTCTCAGCATGAAGCTCTACGATTGCAGCGATCCGCGCATCCTGGAGCTCAAGGTGCTGCTGCACAGCGCGGAGGCCGCCCACTTCACCCGGCACTTCGGCCGCCGTGACGGCCGCCCGGTGCACAGCGCACGCTGCGGCGCTTCGCATGAGGAGCGGAGCTTCGTGGAGAGTCGGCAAATGAGGAGACGCTGGTTGGCTTGGGCACGGGAGGTCTTAGAAGCTTGGTGATGTGCGGAGGGGATGGAGGGGATCCGAAATTCACAGAGGTCCCCCAGATTGATGTTGATTGAAGTTGATTGAGTAGTTGGACCTTTGTTCTTCGTCTTCCCAGATTCTCCAAGGATCGTTTGTTCATGTTTGTTCACCCAGAGCTTGGAGGATACGGGAGTTCAAGGGAGTCCGATTCTTGTAGAGCTATCCTCAATTGGAACAGTGTTGGAACCAAGGACAGTTCCACGGCGAATGAGGATGCTGAACCACATCCTGGATTGCGATCGTGGCTTTGGAACTGTGACACCTGCAGTCCCTTTAAGAGTCAAGAACTGCTGAACTCCACCAACGTCACAGAGCAAAATCCTGAAAGCCCTGGCTTGTCGAGGGCTTCAAAGATGCTCAACTTTATTCTGGAACACTGGAGCGATTGCGTGGAAGCTTTGCTCAGCTTGTTCCTCTACTTCTCCCTCTATTTTGAGCCCTGTCTTCGTAGCTCCCTTTGTTTTTTCCCCCAATCCTCAGAAGGCATCTTTCCCACACGCACTTGTATTGGCAAAAACCGCCTTTGGGGGAAATCCCCCTGGAAGACACCTCGACATGTTGCTTTTTCGGGCTCTCCGCCGTGGTCAGGAGCCGAAGACTTGGTGGGCTTCGGAAAGCTTCAGATTGGCCCACTACTGGAGTCTTGGACCCCAAAGATTTGGAGCCACCAACAGACCCGGTATGGTGGATGGTTGCAGGATTCCGTAGGATTCCGTTCCTCTGCCCACTTGACGGAGGTTGGGTGGTACCCGAAACTCTTCGAGCCATGCACCTCTAAAAAATTGGCCAATCCAAGGCACATCACTCTTGGATTCTTGGATACATGTTAGAGACCACAAATGGCCACAAGGTATCCTGGTCAATGCTTTCCGGCAGATCTTCAGATCCACCTTGTCCAAGGAATCCCCTGATCCTGCGAAACCGTGCCCAACAGCGCATCCTGGCATGGCTAACTGCCGACACCTGTGGAGCGCTGGACAACCGTAGCAGAGCCTTTGTTGCACATAGGCACATAGGTGTTCCGAGAAAAAATTGGAAAACCAAGATGCCCGGATGGCAAGCTGCCCGTGAAATTTATGGTGTCTTTCGTTTTGAGTTGCTGTGTTTTGAAGATGACCCAAGGCCTGTACCAGGTCATTCATAGGTAGAGTACGGTGGAGTACATTCTATCAATGTCTTTGCGTCCTTACAATGGTTCTGACATATTCGGAAATAGTCTCTAAAAAGGATTCTGAAACCCTGAACATGAAGCGTCGTAGGTGACGTAGTAGGGCGTCTGGTTCCAACAAGCTGAATCGGTGAATGATGTTCCATTGTCACGTCCACAAATCGATAGAATAGCATTATGCGCTATTCTAGGATGTTGTTGGTGGACCCGTTTTAACTACAGCAGAAGAGGGATGCGTAGATGCTTTCCCGCCATTTCGCCAAACAAAACAGCTCCGTCCATTCACGGCATTTCATGACGACATGAGGAGCTCATTGGCCCCTCTTCGGGCTCTTCTTGTCAGAGCTGCCGATGAGAGATCATCATGGTTCCGTGTTGAGCAGCAGATCAGCTCCTGAACAAAAGGCTTCTCAACACAGAAGAGTTGTTTCATGCTGTTTCTTTTTTGGGCAGATGAGTCATGAGTTGCTAGATTTGTTACATGTCCCAGGTGAATGAGAAACCTCCGAACCTACTTCCCCACAACAGATCTATGGCAAGTGCATAATAGAACACCTAACAGCGAGTGCGTTCCTGAGTGTTTGTGCGGTGCTTTCAAGCTAAGTGCACTTCTCGACCTCCCCGAGGTGTCCCAGGGCCTTGTCCACTTTTGGCCCTCCCAGCGCTTCTCCGAGTATGCCACGCTGGCGGAGATCGCTCCGACGGCTCACGCGGCACCGGAGCAACCGTTGTTTGCAATTGATGCAGGATGATCACTCTGTAGGGGAGGGCTGGAGGGTTGGAGGGATCTATTCCAAAAGGAGATGAGTTTTGATATTTTCCGAGACGATTTGGCAAGCCTAACCCATCCAAACCCTAAAATCCAAAAGCATAAAACTTCCCACAGGACCATCCAACTCAGTTACTATCAGTCGCCATGTAAACAGGATTGTGTTCTTGAGTTGGTTTCCGTGCAGGATTGTTTGATGGAACGGTTTGGACTCAACCGCTCATCAAGTCTGGCTACTTCACTGTGGGGCTGGAGCCCATGGAACAAAATCGACGGCTGCTGTCAAAAAGCTTGTCACAGAGTAACCTGCTGCAGAGCTTAAGCCGGTATTGTGAAGTGAATGGCACGCCTGGTGTACTTCAGGATGAACTTTGCAATACTCGTGAGCTGGTATTGTTGGTATGGCTGTGTTTCGGAATTACTTTTTCTGATCAGTTAGTTGTTCCCCCTATGGTGCAATACAGTTCATCATATGTAATAGGCAGGCGTCGCTTTCGTCCAGTCACGTCCAGTCGTTGCTTTCGTCCAGCCTTTCCAAGGTGAGGGGGCAGAAGTCTGGGATGACTCGCAGTTCATGGACTTCGGCCACCGCATCAATCTGACCAGTCCAGGCCTCCGCAAGGCCTCCGATGGCACCTTCCTGTCCGAACTGCTCGGAAGATCCGCTGACCTACAACTTCTGGCTGGGAGGCTGCATTTGCTGAGTGCTGGGCTTGGGGAAAATACAGAGACCTTGATGGTGCGCAATAAGAATGAGTTCACTTCGTTTGTGCAACAAGGCTATCTCGACAGCGATGGAGTAAATCATTCACTGGAAGAAATCACGGTTCTCACTTTGGATGATCTGTTTTATGATTACATTCATGGGCGGACAGCACCGGCGGCGAAGGACTTCATGGCAAGAGTTGATTTGTTGAAGGTCAGGGACGGGGTCGGGCGGGGGTCGGGCTTCGGAAGTTGAAGAGAGTTCGCATGGAAGCATGCGTCAGACATGTTGTGAACATCTCGCAATGAGGCGACCCAATCACTGGTTGTTCCTTCAGGCTTGAAGGGTCTTCAGACATCTTCAGACATGGGAGATACATCAAATATGTGGTACCAAAGCTTGGGCAATGCCAGCTGGGCAGTGGTGGAAGAAGTTTATCTCCCAGGAGCGGAATCCTCCAGTCCAATTGCAAGATCATGTTTTCCATGTTCCTCAGTAGCAGCCAGGAATGGCTATGGAGTGCTGCTAGATACCTTTTCGAGCCCTCACTGAGAAAAGCCAGCTTAACACCCTTTCCAGCATTCCTCAATGAGGAGAGCCATCTTAACAACATCCCGATCGAAGCCTCTTCAAGACAAAGTCAAGATTCCCAGTTAGCACCCAGAATTCCTAAGTATTCCTTCCATTTTTGGATTTTCACTGGGGGGCATTGGGCGCCATGACGCATCTTGGTAGGTACATCTATTCTGGGTGTCCTACCCGCCCCCCTGTGTTTGAAAACAGCTGTCCTCTTCTCGCCAGTCTAATTGCATGGAGAAACCTCGAAGGCTGCACCTTTATGATCCTTTATGTACTTCGAAGGACTTCCTGTGGAGGGCAGGTTGCAAACTAGAAAAGCCGGGTGACCAGTGACCCTTTGAAACCCTGAGAGCGACTGGAAGTCCAAGCATCTCAGAGCCCCAAAATTGTATGTTTCCTAAGTGATGATTCTAGTTGTCCAAAAAATGAACGGCCTAACCTACACCTGTTTCGCATCGTCATGCCTCTCATGTCCCTCAATCCTGGACACCGGTTTGGTCGCATGTATTTTTGCACCTTTTTTGACCCAACCAACCGTTCTCCTTCGAGGTGGACACCGAAGGTTGGGATTTCAAGGTCCTGCAGGGCGCCGAACGCCTCTTCTCGGAGCGGCGCGTGCGTTGGCTGGTGCTCGAGTACCAGCCGGCGGCGCTGCTCTCCACCGGGTCGGTCTTCGAGGAGGTCTTGCCCTGGCTGGCAGAGCGGCAGTTCCAGTGCTACAGCAAGCTGGTTCCCACGGCCAAGCGGATTCTGTTTCATAGGTGGGGTCCGTAGTCCGTGAGAATCTTCTGGAAGATGTGCTGCAAACATGCGACATTGTCACCAATGTCCAAGTTCCCAACTAAGTTGAGACCACGACGATAGTGATGATAGCTGTGTGATGCCATATCTACAAAGACCAGGACCAAAGTCATACTCTAAGCAATCATGAAATCACTCACCACTTTTGGTCAGGGCAGCTTTGTCAGGTATGGTCGATTTGAAGGTCCTCCAGAGGCTTTGACATTTGATGAGTATCATTCCATTTGGGATGATCTCACCGACGTCCACGACGTGAGCGCCAAGACGGGACGACCACATCGCGATGTGTCAGGCGGACTAGATGTGCGGTCAGGTGGGTCTTTCCGTGGGATCACCATGCTGGACAACATCGTGTGCAAACAGATGGACGATGCTAATCCCACCCTGCCGGAGAAAAGGGCGAAAAGAGCCGTGTGTGGAGCATGCCAGGTATTGGAAAGCAACTTAACCCTGTGGGGACGTGATTTTTGAGAAAGTTCACGATGCAGATGCTTCTCTCAGACATTACCAGCCAATTTGCAAAAGAGGGTTGAAATCGCCCTCCAATAGATAAAGCCATCGCTAGTAGGTTGGAGGCCATCGCTATTAGAAACTCAAAAGACATGTTGTTTTTTAAGCTAGATATACACTACAAAGAACATCCGCTCTCGTCGAGATCACACCGTCATGTCGCTCCTAGGTGAGATCGCCTCGGTGCCTGTCTTCATGAGCTCTATGATGCAGTGCCCCACTTCAAAGGGCACAAGCAGTGGCACAAGCTTATGCAAGTGCTTTCAGGTGAAAACTTTGTTTTTCAAGGGGAGCCTTCTCTGGTGAGGACAGCATGACATGCTTTCTTAGGGTGAAAAAGAATCAAGAGGAATGGTTTCGCCCTGTTGTGCTAAAATAAGGCGGGTTCTGTGCCAAAAGACGGGACACTTGTACTGAGTGTTTCTGGTTGAACATGTTGGTTCCTGGTGAACATATGTGAACATGACAGAAGCAACTTCGAGGTGCCCGATGATTTCTATCGCCTTCGACAAGTACGACAAAATCTTGATTCTCACCGCCAATGATGCTCGGATTGGAGTAGGGTGAGGGTGAACTTTGTGTAGAACTACTTCTGAGCCAACATCGGGGTAGGGTCTAGGGTCTAGGGATTTTGAAGCCCACTGGCTCTAGAAAAAAACACATTGAAATGTAAAACCAGCCACAGAAGAAACTAGATGCAAAGATTTGAGCAATCAGCACGCTTTAACTGCCCGTGTTTTGCGTTTCTGGAAAGCAAACCAAATGGTTTTGGGTGCCTTGGGTTCCCTACCATGAGCAGGTGGTTCACCTTAGTTTTGGAAGGAAAGTAAGGTGGGGCATGCTAGGGGATGGCTCGGGCAAAGGATTCAGGGATGGTGTGTAAGTAGCTGGGGCTTCCCTTCCAGCATAGAATTTTGGTGAGTTTCTGGGAAGAAGAGAGTAGGGCATTTGATCGGACATAAGAATTCTTGAGAGAACAACTCCAATGATTCGTATGATCGTCGAGACATGTCGAAATTCGTATCGACAGGGCTGTTGTGGGATCGGAACCGCTTCGATTGATGCTCGAATTGGACAGATCAAACCGCTTTAGTGTGTGTTTTTCCAGTTGCTACAGTTGACAGGATAAGTGTTCCACATTTTTGTTGTTTCATCCAGATCCCGTTAGCAGCTGTCCATATCGATCCACACGCGGCCTTTATTACAATCCAGTGGATCCTCCGAATCCATCCGCAAGGGCATCAAAGCTAGTGGAAATGAACACATACAAAAAAATAGAGAACCAATATTGTTTGTTTCAGCAGCACCATAGTTTTTTTGTGTCTTGGTTTCCTAAGTCGACATGAACCGAAGAGAAGTAAGAATGTTCAAGCTTTAATTTGGTTAAAGGAATAATTCTTTCGGAATTCGTCCAGACCGAGGATGAGACGCTGAAGCCACAGAAGGAGACCCTTCTGAAGCAGTGCGGCTTCGACGTGGACGACCGCCGCTTCATGCCGCCTGGCCGTTCCGTGGGACACCCCGCTGACATGGCTGACGTGATGTGTCACAAAGAGTTCTCCTCTTTTGGAGGTACAGTACTGGGTAGTAGGATGTAGTAGTAGGGTAGTAGGGTAGGAATCCGGTAGGAAGCTGTTGATCTGCCAATTCTGGGGAAGATTCTACTGAAGATTTCTGCAGCAGCTTTTGGAAGTTCTCCTGTGGGGAGAAGGTCTGCTTCGCCCATCGTCATCACCTAGCCTTCGACTTCCTTTCGATCCATGTCTTCATGGAGAAACTCCCTGGGTGCAGCGCAGTGGTGCTGAGGATCATGGGCTGCCAGAATGTGCCAGGCTTCGATGCTGTTGCCAAGGGCGAGAAGGCAAAGCATTACCGACGAAACCCTCTCTGGCACGCGGTTTGTTCGTTTTCTTCGCGCAGTGGTTTGGTATGTGAACGTGGTCACCGGGGGTGAGCGGAAGAGAAAATAGGTCTCGGTCTAAGGTAGTGTCCAAGGTCTTTCCTGACAGTACAGTACAGAAACTGGAACCTTTGGCAGAAGGGAAAATAGACCCTGTGTCGCTGTGTGCAAAAAATGTTGGATTCGGATAGTGCTGTTGCATAAGAAAGGTACGTATATGGTATGTGGTTGTAGCATAACTAAGTCTCCCAGGAGAATTCGTTGACCGTGTCTTAATTGCATTGTTTGCATTTGGCTTTGCTGTGAGGTGGACGTGGAGTATGTGACCCCCGGCATTGTGTACATGGCACACTGGGTGCAGTTATGCAGCAGTTTCGGAACTTCGGAGTCCAAATAACCTTACAGTGCCTCTTAATGTCCTCAAGTTGTTCAGGGGAACGGCGTGGGTTCTGGGCCTCACACTGAACAATGGCCTGTGAACAGTCCGAATGGCCGGTGACTGGCTTTGCAGTTCCCAACGGAGACCTTCCCCTGCAGACCAACATGGACCCCTGGAACGATCCATCCCGGTCCAACTTCAGTCCCACCGAAACCATCCAAAACGTTTGGGCTGACCAGGGCCAGAAGGGCGGGTGACGGTGGGCAAGGGGTCCGAAAGAATTCGCCACCAAGATCCCTTGTCCACGGCGCATGTGCATGCTGCATCATCTTGTGCTGTTTCGTTTTGGCCAAAAAAGAAAAGTTGTTGGACCCAATGGAAACAGAAAGAGAAGAAGAGTTGGCGTTCAAAATGTTTGTTAAGGGAACGAGGCAGAAAGATCTTCGCCATGCCATATACCATAGGGCCATAGTCAAGGGACACGCAATCCCATGTATATAATATAATATACATATATGAATTGATCCCTCAAGTCATTGGACATGTCACAAGCCAACAGGAATATGGCCTATGCTTAATGTAATGTCTTGTAACTTGTATCATGTTCTATACACGTGAGAACGACCCACAGAACCGGTGGTACCCAAACGACTTACCCCGGATGCAACGTCCAGACACCAGGTCTTCAAGGCGATTTGGACCATGTCTTCCAAGGTGAAGCAGGTCCTCAAGAAGCATGCTTCCGTTCGTGCCATTTGCCGCTCGGGGAGAAAAAACCTCCGCTGCCGGACGGTCCACCAGAGCAGCGAAATCCGTCACGGTGAATTGGGACCGTTCGGAAAGAGCACGCACGGTGTGCGCGGATCGGATGTTATTTTAGGGAGCCATTCATTGGACACATGGACCTCTTCAAAGGTCTGGCAGTTCAGGGTGGCCCCTTCGTGACCCAGGACTGTGATTTTGGGAGGATTTTACATGGTCAGTCGAAAAATGCATGTGAAATCATAAAGTTGCCTGAGATGCAAAGCCCTGTCAGTTGTGATCGGATTTTCGCTTTGTTGCCACAATATGAATATTGCAGCTCCTTCTGTGAAGTTGTGTTTAAGACTTGAGGAATCCCCATGTTTAGCCCATTAAACGTAAGTTTAGACCGCCACACGTCCTGACGCCTCTTTTTTGCCCGTCCCCAAAATCCCGTCGCGTCCCGCCACGCCTCGCGCGACGCCCGGCACGACGCCCAGTGTTGGAGTGCACGGAGCTGCCTCCCTACGCAGACGCCCTTCGAGCGGAAACCAAGTTGCCCGTCTTCGACGCCATCACCAACGCGGACCCGCGCCGTTGACCGTCGTGTTGACCGTCGTGCACCGGTCGGTGCAGTTGCGTTTTTGTTTTTTCGCATGGGGTTGGACTGCGGGTGGGTGAAAGGGATGATGGTTGGTTCAAGGTTGGACTGACACCACTGATTTTCCAGCGGTTTTGTGTTTTCTCTTTTACATTCTTCTACCAGTAGGATCAAGGGAGCATATAGTGGGGCAGTTGCCTGAAGGCAGCTTGGGAGAAAAAATGCAAGGTACTTTTCCGACACTGCAAGCTTCGACGATCAGTGATGTCCAGGACTTCTTCATCTCCGCGCGGCGAGACAATCCCAGATTTGGCGGGGAGCCCGGCCTGTGTTTTAAACCACTGCAAGTAGTTCCAGGACTTCTCAACCACTGAACATTCTCTCATACGCCCTAGTGCTTGAGTGGTGTTTGCTCTTGCTTGAACAGATGGAGATTATGGATTATGAACTCAGTTGCAAGATGTGCTGGTAGCCCAGGCTTTAACCAATGGCAGTTGGATTGGGATGGCACCCAAGATGAGTATGAGCAACCTGGCAGCATGGGACATTTGGAGAAGATCATCAGGGTGGCCAATCAATCCCCCTTGTCTTTGGTCATTTGCGCCAATGAAAAGCTGACACAAGACCTGAAGTTCGATCTTTGGAAGGTGCATTTCCTCCGAAGGCCAGCTGGTTTGGGGTTCCACAGCAGCTTTTGCTTGGTTTGGTACAACCAGGTACACCCAAATGATAACGAAATGTTACATGTTCCTTACAGGCTTCCTACCCACATGGTGGGGGAATTTCCAACTCGGTACATGTACCACCGCGGCGTCAATTTAGGATCTGCTCGTGGCTGGGTATACGCGGAGTGGATTTGCACTATACAACTCCATTTCTCAAAGCTTCATCCCAGAAAGCACTCAATCAATCTCCTTAGTTTTCCCCCACAGTTCTTTCATTCAAAAGACTGACCCTCAGGTTCCACCCTAAGATTTAGGATACAAACAGATCATCTCTCCTGGGCATTCCAAACCTTCACCTCTCCCCTGAAGTTCGCCTCGTCCCCCGGGGACGACGCTCCCTTCTCCGCTGTCCGCGTCCGTCTCCTCGTCTCGCTCGGTCGGCTTTTTGTCAGGTTTGGGAGCAACCTGACAGCGGCACAGGCTGAGAAGCTATTGAACTAAAACGAACTAATGCACCCAAGTTTCCGACCCCCCAGACACAAGGAGGTCCGTTTCTGCAGAGTCTCTTTGATTCATCGGATTAGATGGATACGTGTATTAGGTGTTTGTGTGGCCTAGCCACAATATAAAAGAAGTTGTTGTTGGCCCCTGAATTCTGCAGTGACTTACACTTGCTTGGAGAGACATGTGGAGGTTATCAAAGATAAATAGTACTTTGTGGGCTAGCCGTATTGTCCCGCACTGGTAGTGGTTGCTTTGGTCATCCTCAAGTAGATAACATATGGAACAGTCCAAAAAGACACAAGATATTGTCATAGAGTCATATAGCTACTTACAGTAGTAGTTTGGACGTGCTCTTGCACCGTTTTTCTGTGAGAAGGGGACTTACTTACTTTTGGATCTATGTGGCATTGAGTGTCCAATCTAGGTGATTATTGTAGGGCAGGATAGTCCCAGATAGTCAGAATCAGACCCTCAGATCCTAATAGTCTATCGAGTTTCTCGTCTTTGTCTTTCACCCTTCAATACCATTCGGTTTTGACAGCAGGATCATCAATACACATTAGGCAAAGTAGCTGCACATTCACAATGCGAGGGGGGTTCATGATTTGTTTCTTTCGCTTCCTGGCCATGTTTCACCTAATCAAACGTCCACCCGAAGCTCTTCCGTCACCGATTTTGCTCGCGCGGGGGTTGGAAACCACGAGTCCCAAAGTTGGAGCCTCAAATCAGATGGCGAATGTGAAAGCACATCGATCGCCTCTTTGTCGGCCGTTGTTCTTTACTCGGCCCGGGTCGCGAGACCAGAGAAGTCCATCGAACGGTGCTGGATTTGGAAGAAACGCCAGGACTCTTTGAAGCTGCAATCCAACGGGTTTTTTGTTACGAGAGAGGCTGATGGCGACGTGTCTAGGGCGATCCAACAGTCCACTTTTCACTGGGCAGATGCACCAAAAAGCAAATATTGTTTCTCAGATTTTCTCAGGTCGTTCTCACCAAATCCGCCGCGGTGGACAAATCCACAGACCCGACGCCAAACCTCCTCTCTGCGGATGGTCTCTCACAAACGTGAGTCGATCGTCGTCCGCGGACGGTTCCGGCGTTTGTACCTCGATGCTCAGAGGTCGTTATATATTTTCTAGGGAGGTCGATCGGACCCCCCAGAGTGTGGCGTTCAGGTTGAGGCGATGTTGATGTCATCCGTCTTCATTGAAGCGTAGATCCAGGGATGATATAAGTGTTCAGAATGGTTCAGATCCAGGTCAATGAAATTGCAAGCAGGAGGTAGCAGAAGGGATAGAAAAGACAGCCCAGATGATTTGAAGAATAAGGAAAACATACACTACACACGTCAAAAGAGCCAGATCGCAGGCTGTCTGGAAATGGTGAACCTGCTGCGCTCTTCAGATATTTTTGGGTCAGTCCTCTGGAGGCTTACTTGAGGTTGTGGTAGTTTAATCTGTACATAGTTACTTCCTTTGTAGTAATTTTTGTATGCTTTTGTTTAGTTGTGTTTAGCTATAATTATTAAATATACTTACATGGTTTACAGTGTAATATATATGTTGCCAGAAGCCACAGTTTTGGGGGCTAGGGCCTATAGGGTTTGGTTCAGTCCAATGTTTACCATTGACAAATGCATGTGTCCCAAACTGTGTGTTGACAGCATATGGGCATGCTCATCTCAGAAAAGAATCAACCCGAACATGGGTTGGTGGCAAGACAGGAAGACAGATCGTTTAGGGGAGGATGCCAGAAGGCTACAAAGCCATACTTACCATATACTTACTTATCTCCAAGCTTAAACAAAACAACTACCTGATAGCGCAAGTCATTTCTAAAGCTGTCGAAGGGAGGGCATCAGTTCTGGGTCGATCATCATCGATCATCTCTTCAATTGGCCTCAGGGCCTCACCAAAGGAACCAGGACTTGAATTCAAAATCCATCGGCGATCCCTTTCGTCACAGACTCAAGGAGAACCATGCCATGTCATGAACGGAGCTGAGTTTCGCTATTCTTAACCGCACTGAGACTCTCCAGAGGCTGACATTTGGTGTCAGTTACACAATTTCGGCCCCGGCACTGGGTTTGAGGGGAGATTACAAGAGTTGCCTTCTGCCAAGTCAAGCGCATTCAATCGCCATGGCGTATGAAAGGAGTCGTAAACGCAGGGCAGGTCTGTGCGCGGCGTGCCGCTTTGATCCCCCCTCGGGCCTGCCCACAAGTTTGAAACTGGCGCAACTGCCGGCTGACGCCAAAAACACTGAGCATGCAGCTCGCGCAGAAAAGGTTGAGTTCATGGTGGCCACGTCAGGTCAATTGGTTTCGAGTTTAATGCCAATGTGCAGTATGGCCTCCCAGACGTCTCTTTTGGAAGTACCGTCAAAGTTATCTCGAAATGCTTGTGAGCGAACTAGCATGAGATAGCCTTGTTTGGTCAAGAAGACCGTTCCAAGGCTCACGACTTCTCGCAGAGGGTAACCATGTAGCTGTCGCCGGAGATCCTACTTTAATTTACTAAGCAAGCCTGGGTGCAAATTTGCTCTGATGTTGTGATTGTGCATGACTCACGCAGAGCCATCTTGGCGCGTTTGCGCGCTAGGGAACGTTCATCGCACCAAAATGTTCATTGCCAGGGATTGGAATGGAACAAGATCGTCAAGAAGGTTGCAAACTGGCGTGCCAAGTGGGCCTCTTGCTGGCAAAGTTGGTCCGAGTCTGGGAAGAAGACTGAAGACTCGATCGGGGTCGTTGAAAGGAGCATGTTCAAGTGAATTGATATATTAATTTGCAGTTAAACATGAGACTCCTAGACTCCTGAAGCAAACTGGTGTCATGTAAATATATATATATTACGTATATTATATATATTTTGTGTGTTGTTGACGTGGTCCCCTTGGTTGACCGACATTTGCAGGGTTATGCTGTGTTTGATCCTTGCAGGTGGGGTCATTTTGTATTTAGACCAGTGTGTCCAATACAAGTCAGACACGTCTCTCGTGACGTCTGGCGCAGGTGGTGGTTAAGAGGTTTTGACTGGTTTGGGTGGGAGCGTCAGTGTGAACGTTCTATTTTGATTGGTGCATCCTTGCGCCCTTCAAGATGGTACGTTCAAGGTGTTTGTTCACGGCACTGCCATGTATAAGGGAATAGTTCCAGAATCTCGGGCTGTCATTTCGTCATTCCATTCCCCTCTAATTCAGCACCGGCGACCCTTGGAAGCGAACCGTGTTCAACTCGCTGTGCAAGGCAGTGAAGCTCAAGCGCTTTGTGGAGGAGGCCAAGTTCGTCGGCGACGAGTTGGTGAAAGACACCGTGTTTGAAAACCCCGTCATACTTAGTAGTAGAGTTTGGGTTTGCTTGGTAGAAATAAGCATGAGGTCGAGGTCTACAGATTCAGATGCCTTTTGCAGCTCCCAAATTTTGCTGAATTTAACTGCTATTTTACTTGACAACTCTGAGGTACTTAATTTGCAAACCGTGTAGTCGAGCTAGCATAGTGGCCCCAAGGAAGACTGGAGAGTCAATACCCAGGATAAATGTGCACTTGAGTTGCTTTCGTTTGGTTATATGTATATATGATATATATGCTTGTCACTTGGCACGTGGTGTCACTTCTTGGTGTCATTTCGACGACCAGCTCCCGTCGTCCCGAGCTCGGGACGGCGACGCGCTCCGGTGCAGGCGTACCCGACGGAGTTCAACGCCAAAGCACTGAACCGCGAGGTGAGGAACCGAAAAAGGTCCGGGCGAAATGCCCCGTTCGTAGCGATGCCCTTGTTCCTAGTAGCGATGCCCTTGCTCCTAGTAGTAAGGCCAGGAGCCCCTAGTAGCGTCTTTGCTGATAGCGTGGAAGCCCAAAAAAGAGTTGAAGCTCATACAAAATGTGAAAGAGATTTGCGCCAAGTCAGCGTGTCCAACTCGGCAAACCGAGCTAAAGCCGGCGCATAGATCCAGGAAAAACACATTTGTAGATGGAAGAACTTGCAACTGTTGGCGGCGAGGTCGAGGCACACCGGCCATGTGGGGATTCCCCTCGTACCACACCATCAGCCGCAGGTGGAACTGCTCTTGCAGGGTGAGGATCCTTATGCTGCCATGGCCACTGCACAGGAAGAGGCCGCGTTTCGGGAGATGTGGATCCAAAAACTCTAGAGTATGCCATGTGACACACATGTGGCACATGGGGTCAAAATATGATCTCCAAGGATTTGCACCTCATTGGTTTTGCTTGGTGAAGACAAACCGCTTTTCTGGGCAGAAGAAAGTCACAGTTCGGACTTTGGTCCAAACGTTTAAAACTCTTCAGCCTGTTAGCTAGGGGAGCACCTCTCTAAATCCCGTGATCCACAGCCACGATGCCCATCGGCTTTCAGGGGTTCAAGTGGGTTTAACCGCTTTTCCGCTCGCTTTTTCATGGGGTAGGGAGGACCCAGAAAACAGTCCATCGAATTCAATTACTCTTCTCAGTCGTTTCAGGCTATTGGGTTCCATGGTTGTGCTAATGTTTCTTCCATGCAAGACAGCCCAGTAGCTGGGCATGTTCGAAGGTACATCCTACTCCAGATCCCTAGTTTTTGAACGTCCATTGGGAGGCTGCAGCTGAGAAGGATGAGTTGGACGTGAAGGACGAGGTGCCGTCCTCCCGGAAAAAAGAAAGCAGACGAGTTCAAAGCCCAGTTGGTGTGGGACGTTCAACCCAACTGAGGAGTCCCAAGCATAATTTGGCTGTTTGGTTTAGTATCGTCCGGGTCCGGGATTGGTTTGGTTTGGGGCACCGTGCTCATTGTGCTGGGCAAGTTTAGCATTTCGGTGCTGGACTCTCAGACTCAGAATTCTCCGACTGAGTGACGATTTGGATTCAGGTTGAATACCCATCAAGACCGGAGCCAACGCGCTGTCCAGTAAAACATGTTTTTGAATGCATGACAACGACCTCCCCCACAAAAAAATATCATTTGGCAAGAGGTTGCCCACTTAAAGACCATGCAATGTTCGAAAATTGTTCTGTTCCCCATGTTTAATTCTGAAGCTGTTTGGCTGCCAACGTCGGCCCATCGCCGCTTCCAGGGTGGTGTGAAGATGGAATCCTTTGAGCCGGTTGGGGACGCCAGACTTACTCGGGTGACGGAGTCTGGTCGGTCACGGAAGGTTTTTGCGCATGAAAATGGAGGGGCTTCCGCTATGGATGGGCTTTGTGCAGAGCGTGCCATGTGTTGGAGCTTTGTTGATTTAGGAAATGCTTGTTGAACCTCTGGACCCCAAGACCTACGAGCTTTCTACAAGCTGCATTTGGTTGAAACACGAGTGTGCGCTTACTTGCGGGTTAGCTGAACCAACCTTGTTCGAGATGAAGTATAGCTGCTGGGTGGCGCAGAACCTCTTCATCCAAAACCTTCACTGCTTTTATCGGCGAATCCGATCGCTACGCTCGGAGCAGAGGCCACCCTCTCTCTTTCGCGAGGCCACCTCTTTCTCGGGCGCCCGACCGGGCTGGTGCTTCAAGATGGGCCGGGAAGCTGAAAAGACTGTTCGTCGCCGCGTTTGGTGCGGGCGAAGCCCGATGAAGATGGATTTTGAGGATTTTCCGGATTCCAACCCCCCTGAAAAGCCCGAATTGCACTCCTAGAATCTTCCGGTGCTGAGTACGGCAATCAATCCCAGGGAGGACTCTATAGCCGCTGCAGTGGCCGGACAAAATATCAACAAATCAAACAAACCCCTGAATTGTGATACCCGCTCTACCCCCACAGTTTGACGTTGAATGGGGTCTCCTTCGGTTTGCGAACCAGTATTGGTTTGATTTCTCCCAAACTCTTTGTTTCGCTTGGACAACGAAGGATCAAGATGAGTCCGGTTTGAGATGGTTTGAGTATACTATTCATCCATCTATGCCATCTATGTGAGTCAGTTGTCCACCCCTTTGGGAAGGGATCAAGATGAAGAGGTGAGGAGAAGAGATGCCCACTATACAAAGGACCAGAGGGCCAGAAATGATTCGTACGCATCAGATGCAAACTTTCTTTGTTGGCATGTTTGAAGTCATGTTTGTAGTGTAATTTATATATATATAGACTTGGACTTAACTGTAAATATACTATATTGATATACTGATCCAAGTCTGTTGGCCGCAGCCGTTTTCTTTTTAAGCCGCTAGGTTGAACGCACATGTTAACTAAAAGAAAGCAAACAAAGTCCATGTCCCACCTCAACCAATCTGACCTAAACCGACCCATCCCACCGGGTATCGCACCGTGCTCCCATGACGGTGGACAGTGCCGCGCTGCTGAAGCCGCCGGGCGGAAGCTCACCGCTCCACCGGAAGCACAGCGGGAGCGCGGAGGACTACGTGGACAGCGCGAAGGTCACCGGTGCCTTGGCCGGTCGGAGTTGAACGCGGGGGGGAGGTTCTCCCGATAATGGTGGTTTGCTAATACTTGCAGTTCCTAGCTTCATGAAAACTCTCATTTTGTGTTAATTTTGGTTAAAGATCATGCAAGATCTAAGTGTGACGGAAGAAGGGTGTGGGGACCCTTGGTCCTGGCAAACCCCTTTTTCCGAGTGTAATCCGGCGATATGCCAAATGGGTTCCCCGGGGTTTATTTTTGGAACACGCCCAAGCAAAGCTTTCCAGAGTATCAATGCTCAATGGTAGTAGAAACTCGGTAAACCACTCATCAAGCATATACATCGTACAACCATGGTGTCAGTCCATTGTGGGTGCACAGTACTCTGCAGTGCACACTCTCCCGGTTTCGGTCATACAAGCCGTTGGTTTGGTGCATGGTTCAGTTCTTGTGCCATGCAGCCATGCATGTCTCAGAAGGCGTGGAGGAGACTTACCTCAGCCAAAACGGCCAAGACAGCTCTTCTATTTGATCTTCTCCATCCAATCCCATCCGATGACATGAGTCTCCCACTCACTATGAAAAGATCACGATGCGAACTACCGGCGGGTTGAGCATGCGTTCGAACCGACATCTGATGGGATGGCAATGGCATGTTCAACTGTTTGAACCATCCCATCTGTCACAATCCCATTTGCTGGATCTGGAACCCAACAAGGTACGTGCGATGGCCATGTGGGGAGCATGCATCTCCCCCACTGCGTCTTGAACGTCATCATGGCGGTCTTGGGTGCCGGACAGCTCACTTTGCCCTATGCCATGAAGCTCTTGGGTCTCCCTTTGGGCGTCTTGGTGCAAAATGCTGAGCCACACCAACAACAGCATCTACATCCCTCCAAAGAAGGAGCTATACCAATAAGACTTGCGTTCATTCATTGAATACAAGTCCAGTATTTTACTCCACAGTTGACTGCCTCAAACAAAAGTCATTAAGGCCATCTTGGGAGTACTTACAAAGTGCTTCTGCAAGTAAAAGCCATTGAAGAGCCGGCGTGCAGCGACAAGCAAGCACGATTCTCAACAAGAGCTCCAAGCGACAGTAAGTGGGCGTGCCCACTTAGCACAGGGGTGTCACCAACTCTCTGAAAGCATTCTGCCCAAGGAAAGCATATGAACAGACCCACCGGCCAATGGAAAGCTTGTGTATATATACGCAGGGAAAACGGGCGAAAACGGCTAAACAGAGTTGGGTGGGTTTGAACGACGCTGTTTCTTTTCTGTATGGATTTCTGAGACGGAACGAATCGAAGACTTGACTTTCTCGGCAAAAAAACAGTGGTCTGTTCGAAGCAGTTTGAGACCTCAGTTGTTGAGAACAGACCACAAACTTCCAGCTGCCGTTGCATCCAGTTCACTTGATCAAGGATTCTTCTCACTATGCTTCTTCACTGTCCTTTCAATGCATTCCGTGAAGACGCTCAGCATTCACGAGCTGGAGTTCACTCCCTCAGGCGAGGCGCGCAAGCGCGCAAGCGCGCAAGCGCATGCTGCGAGGGCCTGCATGCGAGGCGCTTGTTCGTTCACGCCTTGGCGCTGGAGTGTCCTAAGAGTTGAAGAAAAGAAGATCTCACTCAAGCACCAGATCAACAATTCTGCTCGACATAGGTTATCTATCCACAGAGTGGAGCAAAGCATGAAAAGACAGGCGCGTGTCCCCAAACTCACACTGGACAGAGCACGGGTCATGTGTTCTGTAACGCCTGACATGCAAAGTGTTCCCGACAGTTATATAAAGACGACCTTTTTCTGGCAAACGTTTGAAGCAGCTCGCGTGATTGGTTGCTTGCGGGGGCTCCCTGGCAAAAAGATAATCACTGACATGAAAAGAGAAGACCTGGAGAGCAAAGCTCTTTGCATGTCGCCGTTGGTGAGTTCTTCCTTTGGCAACTCGCTGCAAAAAGTGTGTTTTTGTTGCATTGCCTTGAAGCTGCTGGTTGGAGGCCACCGCAGGTTGGAGGCCATCGCTATTTGTTTGTATTGCCTTGAAGCTGCTGGTTTGCATGAGACGAGGCATACAACATGATAGGTTCTCGCTGGTCTCAGCACTAGGTGAAAGAAGTGGCAAGGTGCAATCTCTATGATGCTATAGGTTTGGACATGTTTGGACAACTAATGTGACTGGTTGTTGGGGTCTCCAATCAATACTGGGAGGTGGAACCTGAACCAGACCAGGGAGGGGCTGGGCCAGACACTTTTGCCAGGATGGAGAAGTTGATTTCTTTTCCCGAACAAGGGAAACTTCATTTCGGAAAGCAGAACTGTTCGTTTTTCCATGACAACATAAACTCTTCAACTCCTCAACAGCAGTTCTCTCAAGCTTTGGCCAACTCAGATATTTGGGATCTCGCCTGGACACCTCGCCTGCCTCCTGCCGCAAGAGTTTAAAGCCGGGCGCGTTCGACGTAGTTCGTCGATCTTCGTCCTTGCTATGCAGCTCCTGCGGTGTCCTGGCGCAGTCCAATCCTTCACAGAAGAGGGTATTAATGGATATGAACACAAGACAAGACATCTTCAATGGGCTGTCCAATGTTCCGCATTCCACCTGTTTGATGAGGCTAAGTCATGCTAGATAGAAAGGGAGTTCTTCATCTGTAAGGCATGAATCCTTTGTATGAATCTACATCTTGTTGGGGGCCAATCTGAGTATGGGAGATTTTTGCCCAAAGAACCCAAAATGTGTTGCTAACCTATGAGGTCCCATTCATTTCGCGGTTTTTTGAGCATCTCTTATGGACTCTTTGAAGACCCAAACCCTTCCCTTACCCAAAACTGTGGGCCTAAGTGGACCCAGCATCAACTAATGTGACGGGTTGTTGGGGCACGTCTTCTGGAAGCGCAGCGGGTCCCAATCAAATTAATACTGGGAGCTGGAACCTGAACCAGACCAGGGAGGGGGTGGGCCAGACACTTTTGGCAGGGAGAAGTTGATTTCTTTTCCCGAACAAGGGAAACTTCATTTCGGAAAGCACCTGTCATTGCTTTCAATGGTCCTGTAAAAAGGTCCCAGCTGGAGCTCCAGTGTGAATCCGCCGTTGACCTTGACCTGCATCGTACCCGAGCCTTGGAAATGGTCAGGCCAGAGCAATCAGCCGCCCTCTGCGGCTTCCAGTCCGTTCGGTCGGAGCTGGCCGATGCCAGACTCCAAGTTCAGCAAAAGACGAGTTTTCAGGGAACCTGGCGAATGAACAGCCCTCAAATTTTTCTAGGAAGCCAGATCAAAACGATGGTGTCAAACCCTCAATCCATTCAATCATATCACAAGAAGATGGACTGCCTCAGACTGATTTCCAAGGACCAGCAAAGGATGCTTGAACCCAACTCAGAGCTATTGGTGAAATCGCCGACTGAGTTTGTCCTCCAACTTGCTTGTTTATGGTTTGCTGCCCAACTGGGCTCCATGGTTCGTACAGTGGCACAGGGGGCTCCTTGACAGCCAAAGCTTCTGGCTGCTTGACCGGGGTGGAGTGGGTTGGGTTGAGTATGAGTGAGTGTACAAGTGCTATGACGCCGGCGTACACCCGGCCATTAGACAGCTCGATGGCCTTTGGGCAGTCTGAGCGGATAGGGCCCCAGAAGAACCTGCTGGAATAGCAGATTCTCTGAGGAGGAAGAGGCGAAAGGAGCCTTTCCGGGAGCTGAAAGATATGTGATCTGCAGGAAAAAAAGGAGGAGGAGGTGGAAGGTGCAGCAGGCTGACAATCCTGGGTAAGGGAGGACAAGCCCGCAGGCGGCGGAAAGACGCCTTCAGCGACAAAGAGACAACCAGCGCGAGCAGCCCCAAAAGGCCATCTGGGAAAGATGCCCAGTGCCTGCCAGGAAAAAGAAGAACAGGAGTGCTGCATGCAACCCCAGCGGAGCGTAGCATCATGTCTCGAGGCAGCCTGATTTGCGCGCTGAGTTTTCGACCCCGGTCTTTGACCCCGGTCAAACAGATTGGCATTTTCAGTTTGGTGGGCTAAGCGGTGGTGGCGCTTGTTGCTTCCTGAACATCCGGAGGGGTGGTAAGCCAAACAAGAAACACTCCCAAGGACCTGCGCGTTGCACCATGACTCACACAGAAAGGGTCGGGGCTTTCATTGCTTCTCGCGAGTCGCTCTTCCAATCCATGTTGGCAAAAACTGAATGAACAGATGTAAATGAAACATTTCCTGCTTGTGGTGGCATGAAACAACTCTACACGCGAAAACAATTTGTCAAAAGCACCCCCACGTGGCTAAACTAAACATTTACCGCCTTAGCTAAAACCTTACCCAGAAGGTTTCCTAGTCGTACAAAGTGTTCCTTTTGCTTTCAGCGTTTCTCACGGACTTCTCTTGGAGAGAGATGCATATATACAGGTACAGCATCAATTTCGCCTACCCAAGTGTTCGTTGGACCTTTTAAGTCAACTATATTTTGAGCAAAGGGATCCATGTTGCATGAAAAGTTGCTCTGTTGTGGGGGTCGCCGCTTTAGAAGGGTTCTTGCTTGAGATGTTTTCTTTGCAAGTGCAATGTTCTACCACAACCTATTGGGCTAGAAGGGGGTGTTGAGCAAAGAAAGAGGAATAGATTACATGATATTGAAAATCAGCTGCAGACGCCGCCCAATGTTGAATAATAAGAAGAGAAACTAACTAAGAATAGTACTAACGTTGGACATGAATGTAACCAACGAACTATCCAACAAACAAACGAACTAACCAACTAGCTAACTAACTTCGGTGGGCGGAACGACTCTGTTTAAGTAGGGGAGTGGCTAACTAAAGAGTTCTAGGTACCAAGAGTATTTGAGCACATGGTGTGGATAGATGCCAATCAATAGCCCAATCAATGCACTTGCATCTCCCTGCTTAATCCGCATTTTCATTTGTTCCCACATCCCCAAACAGTCTACTGTTCGGGTTCTCTTGGGAAAAATCGCACTGGCCGCAGTCTCTGGCGTTGTCCTCCTGCCGTCCTCTTCTTGTCCTCCAGTTGTCCTGCTGGCCGTGCTCGCGAACCCTGTGTCCTCCTGTCTTCCTACTGTGCTCTGGCTGCGCTTGCGAGCTGTGTCCTCCTTCTGTCCTGTCCTTTGGCCGCGCTGTCTCGTCCCCTTGCTCCCCAAAGTTTGGGTATGTGTGTCCAGCTTGGCCACACAGTTGGCCGTGCCGTTTTGTTCAGGCTTGGCCTTGCCCAATGCTTGTCCAGGTCTGTGCGTCCTGCTTGGCAGCCGCTTCCCCTTTTTTCACCGCCTTGCCCGGGTATGTTTTCGTGTGCTATACATGCGACAGAAATGCAGCGTTTGATATCATCCTTGGATCCTCTCATGATATCCCTTCGTGTTTGCGCATGTGATCTCGGGAATCAGGGACTAGTGTTTTCTCACATTTTTCACTACATGCCCTTTCCAATACAGACCTTCGTGGACGATCCGGAGATATTGCCAGTAAATGTTCACGTGCTTCAAATATTCCCAAACAATACTCTCATCATGTGACATATACAGGCATGCGTTCACCTGAGGTGGACACTTCACATGTTCAGTTCGTTCACCCGTTTCAATGCCTGAAAAATGTGGAAATCTGTCCATGCATCCTCGCACCAGGCCAATGCTTGGAGTCCTACTCAGCACCTTTTCTGCATTTTGGGGAGAGAACGTTCACCTCGGTGGGTTACCCACAGTACAAAGGTTGTTGCTCTTTTCATTTGTTTGGACATGATACGCAAATTTGGACGATAGCGGGTTCCTCACACAACAATTTACCCAGATGCCTGCCGCATGGCTACATAACTGCAATGTTTTGCGGCATGTCTTTTCTTTCTGTTTGTTCTTCGTAGTTTTGGGGGGTTCAATGAACATTGTTCACCGTATGATTGGTGCCTTGTACCTTGTATTCGGGAATGCTAAACACTGGCGTTGCATCATGCATCACCCCACAGCACCTGGATATTTCATGTCATAACGTGTGTAACCAATTAGTTGTGCTGATGTGCCAACGGTCCGGCGGTTGGTCATTGGTCAACATGGTTCACAAACTGCCGCGCCCCTTCCCGGTTCACCAATCAATGTTTCTGCTGGCTGTGAAATCTGCCATTTGCAGGTTTACGAAGATTAACACTTGAGACCGCAAAACGAAAGGATTCAAAAATGCACCTACCGCGACAAGGGACCATCAAGTCCAAAAATGTGCACAGCACCACAACGAGAGCGTAGGGGTGAAGCAAACATCCCACCAGCACGAACTCTGGCAACGAACCCTGCCCCCCTCACTTGAGCAACCTATTTTGCAGAAAGAAAGGTATCAATGTTTAACAATACCGCACAAAATCCCTCCATACCATTCCATGCCAACCATATAGATGTTTATCAATTAAAAATGTTAAAACAACAAATATCGTCAATGGCGTGCATTTGTTAAACATCATTGGGTACAATGGAATAAAATGTTTTTTTTTCGTGATATGTTTAAACATATGTTTCATAGAAATATGCTGGAACATGTATCCCACCTAACACCCACCACCGATCACCCGACCGCTATTGTAGCGTTGGCCGCGCAAGACCCGGCTAAGAGGTGTCATAGACTCTGTCCATGACTGGTGGTTTTTGAGGGACATCCCAACCTTTCACCCAATGGATGACAAGCACGTGAAGGAAAAATATGCCCTTCATGAAAATAGATACTCACCTACTGAAATTGTCCTCCCCAGTAAAAACCAACCAACACTACCCAAACAACTCCAATCGAGTCACTCCTTCTTCCTCAAGGAGCTGGTGACTCGTATGATGGGTATTTCGGGATCTTTGCTTTGTCAGCTACTGCTGGTCGCCTATGCCTGGGGCGGTGCTGTGGCCTTTCTGGTGATCTTAAAGTCGGGCAGACAACACGCGAAGCGAGCGAGCGACTGCGCAAGCTCCCGGAAGAGTTTGGTTCGGGTTCGAAAGATAGGGAGGATTTTGGTTGGTGCATAAATGGTGTGGCAATTGTATGTAATCAGTCTGGAGGTTCCATTTTGTTTGTCAATTCATCGTTGTCCTTTCGAAAAACTCGCGCACCGGAGGGAAGCAAATATCAGTGTGTCACGGTGTGTCCATATGTATGTCCAGCAACCTTCCTGGTAAAACGAAGGCACGTGTCCGCACGTCCAGATCGCCGTTTTGACGCAGGGAGCAGTTCCAATTCCTTTTTCATAACGACTTGGCAAAATATTGCGGAGAAGCTCAGCTGGCTAACCTAAATTTTCTTTTGTGGATTTAAACAGTTTTCTTGAGGGGTAAGCTCGTACTTCCCAAGTGCTAGCTGATCGAATGAGGAAGAAGATGTTGGCCGGGTCTTGCTTTGCATCATGTCATTGGTCTTCTTGTGGCCTCTAAGCCCCTCGGCACCAGTGGGAGTTTGGTTGGTCGTTTTTTGATTGGCAATCTGCTCCACTGCACGCTGAAGAATCCACCGTATCTAAAGGCTTCGAGGAATCAGGGCGATGTTTCTCATCATACACGAGTAGCCTTCCACTGTTGGTGTGCCAGGTCCGTTGCTGGTTGCCCCTAGATGGGTAAGTGACTTTCCAAGCCGACTCCAAAGCCACATGTTGTCGAATGCGGGAATTACAGTGGAACATGAATCAGTCTTTTTTGGTCTTCGTTGTTTTCTTGGTGCTTCCAAAAACAAATAACATGTTTGTTCATCATGCCTTGGAAAACCACAGCCACAATTATTTTGGCCACAGATGAACAAGCGAATTGTATCAGAAGTCCTACGTAGGAGTTCAAATTTGCATATGTCCATTCTTGACCCTGCCCCTCAAAGCTGATGCGATACATTCCTTCAAGTATTAGTGGTGCATCCTATGCATCTTCTACATATCTCAGATTTCCATGTAATTATGCGTACAGCTCCTTCTCGAACCATATCTCCGGATCTCCCGACCATGAGCCGGCCCGAAAATCGCCCAAATCCACTTTCCAACGTTCAAACAAACCATTGTTGAGCTCTCCCTGCTACCTTTCTTGAGGCTCTCGTCAAGATCTCTCCTTTCTGAAGAGTTTTTCCTGGCTTGGCTGTGTGGCCGCCCTGGTCATCACCAGCATCACCTTCGTGTCGCGGTGGTGTTCAGGTTGCGGCGGATCGATTTGGAGAGAAGTATACTATATTATACTATCCCTAATATGGGAGTTGCCCAAGTGCAGCATCAATGAGTGGTTCTGTTGGGTTGCCCAACATGCACATCAACCATCCAACCAACAAGGAGTTTGGACAGGTGCTCAAAGGGACTGAAGCCTACTGACACCAAATCCCAAGATAAGGATGCTTGGAACTTGAGCCCGAAGTTGAGGTCACCCCAGCGCGGTTCACTCCCAATGACAGGTGGAATGTCCTGCTTCGAAAAGACAGATTTCAGAGACGGGAGATTGTTTGCTCCAAAGTGGGTTCAATTGATTCTTCAATTGATTCCAGTATTGCATGGTTTCAATGACCCACCAAAGTCTGAATTCAAGTCCAAACCTCATTATCAATGCTTGTGACACGGACGCCCTTCTGCTTTGCGCTCCGAGGTTGGTTGGAGATATTTGGACGAGTATATTGAAGACAGCTCGCCCACACCGACGCCCACACCCACGTTGATGAATTTGGCAGCAGCACTGCCTTTGCTGGCATTTTCCCTTAACTCAACTTGGGCGTTCATCCCGGTCTTGTGCACCTTGTCAGAGAAGCATGAGAAGCGCAGTCGCATGGATCAATTGATTTTCTTCAGCAATTTTCTCATCTTCGCGAACTACACAGTGCCTTTGTTTGCAAGACCGAAGCCATTTCCCTCACCTGAAACTAACTTTGCTCCCACCTCCAGAGGAAGCCATCAAACTAGCTGTAACTAGTTCCGCTTCCACCAGGTCCTTGCGGTGTGTGGCTACATGACCTTCGGCCAAGAAGTGAAAGCAAACATCATTGACTCTTTGGGCCCCTCGGCAAGGGGCGATTCTCATCGTTTTCGCCTTCGGCGAGGCGGTGCAGTGCAAGAGGCCTTTTTTTTCCCGTGGCCCTGCCTGTTTACTTAATTATGTAGGCGCCTACTTGCTTAAACAAGGGAGAAGTTCTCTCCTAGCTACTCAAGCTACTAGTATGGAAGCAGGATAGCTCACGCTTCTTCAGGGAAGCTCCCCCCGCCTCAGGGCGGAGGGCAGCTTCCTTGAAGAAGCGCTCGCACTAATCATATGATTTGGTTCCTAGATGTTTAGGATTGTTTAGGCAAACGTGGGGAGGATCACAAAGGATCACGAAGGGTCACGAACCATTCTGGCCGCAATGGCCAGCTGCTTTGTTTTCTGAGTGTTTCGATGATCTTCTCACGAGTCACGAATCGAGGACAAAAAGTGGAAGAATTTCTGGTGAAAGCCCATCAGATCACGTGCAAAGTCGAAGTTTGCCAGGTCAAGTTTGCAGTCCAAGTCGTCGGTGACGGACTGGTGGCCATTGAGTGGCAAGGTGTCTCCGAGGTGTGGTAGGTGACTCAGTACTGTCCATGCTACAGTACTCTAGAATACTCTCGAGACGACTACAGATTGACAAGTTATTTCCTCAACCTGTGGGCCCTGCTCGGAGCTCTCCAATATTCTCCAATAGAGTCTGACGAGTAGTCCAGTGGTGCCCCTGACAGGAAAGTCCAGGTTGGCAACATGTCTTCAGTTTCCTTATATACTCAAAAGGGCTCTCAGACCCAGCGACAGTAGTTTTGGGTGAGATTTCCCACAAGTTCGGCGCCTGCCTTTAGACTTGCTGCGTTTGTCCCCAAAGGGTTGTCATGGCCTTTCAGACATTGGAAATCGCCTGTTCAGGAATCTTTACTTCGCCCAACAGGTCGAGTTATTTTGTAACAATGTGTGCTGGGGGCTGGAGATTTCTTTTCAGAAGGTGACATGATTGGTGGGGATATGTGGGCATATGTCACTGGATTCCAGCGTGGGGGCAGCTCCGTTCCGATTTGAGGTTCCGAACCCGTCCGTTCCAGAGACTTGAGGTCACGTGCGCTGGGGCTCTTGGTGGATGTCTTGGGGAGTTTGTGGTGCCAAGGTGGTGCCTTGGAGGACACCTGGGACGAGGGCATAGGATCGCCTGATCCGAAAGATGGACAGGATGGACATCTGTGTCATAAGTGAAGACGACACAAGAGGACTGATTCCTTCACCGGGCTATTTGTTGCCTGATGTACCATGGTCAAAAGTCATCCTACCCTCACATCAAGGACATCCAAGGGCCCCCATGAGCCCTATCCAAAATGGATGACCATCCCTTTCAGCCATCCACAACCATGCATTTCGACAATGGCCCACATGACTGAACATTGCACCGCTGTGCCCGTGTGTGCGCATGCTCCAGTTTGCTGAGGGAGACTCGACGCGATCAAAAGACCCAACAATCATCTCCGTGGATAGATCGGATTCCGCAGATCCATCGACAAAAATCTCCACAGATGTTGATCTGTAAGATGTTGATCTCCACAGATCCATTGGATTCCTTTGGTTCGAAGATCCCTTCACTTCTCCGATCCTTCCGACTTACGGTCGTACCTATTCTCCGACGTTCGATTCTCACCGCTGAGTTCCTGTGCATACAGCTCGCCTTGGCCCTACCATTGCGCTTCTTCGTTGCCCGGAAGACCCTCCTGGAGTTTGTCGGTCGTAAGACGCCCAACGGACTGGAGAGCAGCACGGCGGAAGCTCCAAACGTGCGCACGTGCGGGTGTGGACTGTTTTTGCGCCGCAAGCAAAACGGACAGAAGAACATGGAGAAAGGTGTTTGAGGCTTAGTTTGTCATGTTCTTCAAGAATATGTCCACAAGTCTCACAAACTTACAGTAATTAGTGGAATATAGTGGAATGGAATGGAAGAAAGCTGTCCCTGACTGCTCAAGATCCCCACCAACTGCCTCAAGAACTTGCTGACTTTGTTTGGTCTGTCGGACTTGTTGACCGGGTCAAACCGCCAGAACTCGAAAACGGACATGGAAAAACAAACACTCATTCTGGCTCTGACGGTTTCTAGATGTTTCTATACTGTGAAGTCGCACTCTTCGGACTGGGAGGGATCCGAAGGATGCAAAGCTTGTGACTGGGAGTGTCCTTTTATAGCTTTTTGGTGCATCCAAGAGCACTGCTAAGCGGCGTTGCTTCAAAGTCTGCCAAGTCTATCTAAGTCTGGTCAGAATGAGCAGTAGCCAAAACTCCCCCTGCATGCACAGGTGCCTGTGTCATATTGGCGCGGGCAATCGAAACCCTGTGCTGTGTGGTTCTTAACATCAGTTGTGTAAGCAAGCACAAAATAAGCAAAGCCCTCAAGCAAGCAGTGCTGTGGCCAGTGCTACTGTAAGACCTGCGAAACCACGAGGGTGAACAATCCATGTGACACGGGCATAGACTAATAAAGGTTGAATCACACATTTAGGCCGAAGGGACATGCAATGATTCCACCAAAGCTGGATTCTGCGAGACCCCCGATCTTCACCGCTCAAATGTTCATTGCCTGCATGGACTTTCCCCAAGGAGCCTGCGTCGCTTTCTTCTTGGTCTCCTTGGCGACCTGCGTGGCCTTGCCCCAAGTCTCCCTGGCCACGGTTTTGGGCTATGTCTCCAGTGACTTGTTTCTCAGATGGTCCCACCGCGAAGTAGAAGGTTCCGATGAATCCATAATTAGCTAGGCCAGGACGCCAAATTGGTCGGCCAGGCATGAGATTTTTGGTTGAGTTGTTGAATTGTTGGGTGCAGAACTTTATCCAAGAGTAAGTGGTGTAATCCGCAGTTGCGGAAGCCTATCCTTCTTGTCCGTGCGGGGTACTGCCTGTTGGGCCTGTTGTCATGCAATTGTTGTTGGACAGTGTCCCCAGCTTTTCATGATTCGATCAAGACTTGTGAATTAAATGATTATCATGTCTCCCTAGGTGCATTGTCGGATTTTGATGGCTGAGGCATATGTGCGAGCATGATCATTTACATTCTGCCTGCTTCTATCGATCTGTATTTCCAACTTCCTGGTCGAGGTCGAAAATTCTCTTCGCTGGTGAGTTTGATTGCTGCTCGTTCTGCATTTTCAGGAGTTTGTCAAGGTTGTTTCAGTTCAATGTTCAACTAGAGAGCCTCGTCCTTCCTCGGGCATGTCAAAAAGGCACATGCAGAAAGCCCCCTTAACCCATATCAATCCTGAGATGAAAAGCTTGGGTCAAATGGTTGCCAATCTTGCAGCAGGCTGACAGGGCTGTAATGTTTGGAACTAACCAAACGATGTGACGACTATGTCACTACCTATGTCCTACTTTTGTTTCTATGTGAGAGGAAGACATAGTTAGCCTATTTGTTTGGACGGCAGACTTCTAGCATCTCCGAACCAATTCAAAGCAGATCAAGGCAGCTTGCCTTAAAAAGCTCTGGACACCTCAAATTCGCACAAACTCACCATCATCCCTCGAGGTGGGGCTGTTTGTCCTCTTCGGCGGTGTTTATGCCAATTACGCTGGGGTGGCCGTTGGCAGCTGACCAAGACGGCGGCGTGACCCTGCGGATTGCTTTGAAAAAGTGTCCTGCCGCTGCGTGAACGACATGGAGAGGCTGCTGTGGGAACGAGGGAGAACGAGGGTCTCGTTTCTTTGGGTAAGGAGCTTTTCAACTCTGTAAGCTGTGGGGCTTTTGAGATTTTTGAGTAGGAGTCTTGCCATTGAAACTTCACTGCGGGTCAAAAATATAAGGGGTTGCATGGTTGTTCTGTTGGCAGATCAACACCCAGTAGACTGCAGATGTGAGCTATTTGGTCCTCTACCAGGGCAATCGTGTCCAAAAACGATCCAACTTGGCTGGCTTTGGGATGATGCTGAGAAGGTGTTACGGGATGTCATGTAAAACTGCAGGTTTTGGGGCGTTGGGTTTTGCGTCACTTGAGCAATGAGTGTGTGTGAAACCTGGATTGATTGATCCTTTTGCCCACACTGGAGCAAAGAGTCACGGAACTGGCCAATTGCGCAGAAAGCGTTCAAAGGAGCTGGACACCCACAGAGACGTGGGGACTTCGCAGGAGCAAAGTTTTGATCCAGGCCACACCCAACTCAGCTCACGAATGTTCTCCGAGGCATGCGCGGCTTGGGATACTACCGAGATCCCAAGCAGGACCTGGGTGTCAAGGGCGTCGGGGCACCCAGACAGTGGAAGGAAGGGAAGCCTAAACAGACATAAACAGACAATATATATATATATTGAATTGTATTATAGGCATAAATTATGAGAGCTGCTTAAAAAGAAAAACCTGCTATTGGTGAGGGTCATGGCACCCTGCTTGACCCCCTGACAATGTGCGTGCGAGGTTTGGGGGCAAAAAGGTGTTAGCTTTAAGACAGACTCAGATGTTTGGAAGATCCGGATGTTGAATGATGTTGAGCAAAGGCCTTAGCTCGACCCCGGTAGAAAATGGGACAGAGACGTTGATCCAGAGCCACCAATTGAAGGATAGACCCTCAACCAGTTTGGTATTGCAAGCGTCCCTGTGATTCCCCTCAGTTCGATAAAATGTGTTTGGGCATGTTTTGGCGTGTGGAATATTCCCTGAAACTGATAGAGCACCCACCTGTTAGGCAACACGTTCATGGTGTTCAAACCTACCCTGGTCTACCCTTGTCACGTTTGCTTCAAGGTGGGGTAAACTGGGTAAACAATGTGTTCAATTCTTGAATGCGTTGTGGCTTCATGAGTCGATGAGTGTCCGACCGGTAGTTGATCGCCTCTAAACCGCCGGAAAGATCATTTGACTGTGGCAACTGCCCGGCCTGCCCTCTTAGGAAGTCAAGGAGGAGAAGAAGGCGAAGGTCAAGGAGGAGGACGAGAAGAAATGAGCCGAGCTGCGAGCTGCGCTGCTCGCCCACTGGTCGGTCCGTCGCTCGCGCTGGCGGAGATGCGTGTTTGGAAACAATGGATTTATTGGCAAAGAAGAAGAAGAAGACACCTGTTGGATCCTATTGGTTTATGCTGGTTTCTATTTTGTTCGATGTTATTCTTGTGAACATGGCAACATCAGTGACAAGTACCTTCCCTCTATTTTCGCTTCTCAGATGCCTGTGTTATCCTGTGCTCAGAGCGAGGGCGGAGAAGGAGAAAGATGCACGGAAGGTCCTGAGGGAAAGCGCTTTATATACTTGCTTTATTATGCACTATTACCATAGGTCGTACAGGTCCGTAGATAAAAGCTGAGTAGAGGTCACAGATTGCCGCAGTTCGATCACATCAGACTCATACAAAATACAAAAACATGTCGAAAAAGCCACAGATTTTGCCGACTGCCATAACTGAAGATGTGCCAATTCTAGGGTGTGGTATTCCTGAAGATTATATTGTTTGATATTGTACCCACTTGAATTGAAGGTCCGCTGCCCGTTGTCACTTTGTTGTCCATCTTCAATGGTTTCATTTGTTGTCCCAACGATGTTGTGTCGTTCAAAACTATCTCGGGCCCCATTGTGATGTTGGGAACATGTGGCAAACGTGGACGTTCCACTCTTGAAGTTCACATGTGTCTTGGACATGCTTGAACCATCTCCATTTGGTGCAGGAAATGTTTGTCCGAACCCCTTCATGTCAGTTCGGGTGTTCCGTTTTGACACGAACAAAAAGTGAGCCATTGCATAGCTGTGCCACAGCAACCCGCAGCATTTGGCGTGTGTTTGGCTTGAGCTTCCAAAGTCTTCACAGCGTCAAAACGTCCAGCCATTAGACTACTAGAGCAGTGAAGGAGCATGAGTTAGGCATATTCCTGACAATATCCTTGGCGCGTGGGTTTTTCAAGAGAGCCACGCTGGCGGCGGTGGCCAGAAGCCAGAAACCCAAGAACCACCAAGCTGAATCCAATTGATGCAACTGTACCAGACTACCCTCCCAGGTGCCATTCTTGACCACAGATTGAACAAAGAAAGCTCACACAGCACACGCAGAAAAGGCAGCACACTGGCTTTGCCCAAGCCTTTCTTGGCATTTCTTGACTAATCCACATCCCAAGAACTCGTTCCACATCGTTCCACGACGATCCCGGGTTTTGCGCAAAGAGAACAGACCGAACCTACTAGTGCAGCCCTTCACATCGGGTCACATCTAGACCCTGTTCCGAAGGAATGTCACTTGGACCCTGTGATTTCACTTCAGCACCAGTGGGACCCCGTGAAAAACACAGTTACACGGACACAGTTACACAGTTGGAATGCGTGCGGTGGGCTGATATGGGCTGATGGCAGTAAGGCGTGATGTATGGAGATCTTAGAGCAGTCGACAGGTTGCACCGGAAGGAACTTGTTCTATGAACAACCAGCAATGTCCCAACGGTTCTTGGTCAAGTCAACAGTTCTTGGTGGCGTGTTCTTTGGTCCTTTGGTCACAGTTCCATTTGTGCTAGTGGCAAATGGTGGTTCCTAGGCAGTAACGATGGCCTTCCATCATGATTGGAAGAGCCAAAGATTGTTGGTGAAGGAAGAAAGACAATGGAGAAAGAGGTCCTACCTCACTCTGTCTCGAGTGTGATTGGGGTTGTCCAGTCTTGATTGGATCTGTTTTCCCAGAGTAGCAAGACTTAGTAGGTTGGGGCCCAGATAGATTTAAAGGGTCCACCTCTTTGGTAAAGGGGATTCTCCATGTCACGGAAGAAGCTGAACCACAACATACCTTGGCATCCATTCCTAAGGAAGATTGCTTTGGAGTAGCTATAGAACTTGCTTTCACATATTGAATGCATATCCATTAAGTTAGGCCATTTGTTTCGATGGATTCATTGGTCCATTTGTGAGGCCGCCAGTTGGAGCCTGTCCGTCTCCATGGACATGCTTGTTCGACGCAAGGCGTGGGAACGCCCGGGAGACGAGTGGAGCATAAGTCAGTTGTGTTAAGACCAAGACCTTGGACTTTTGATGCGATGCTTCAACGCTCAGACAGAAAAAATCATACGGTACGGTAAGTGTATTTGTCTCGAATGGCTTGATCATTTGATCATCTCAACTGTGGCTGACCGCATCGCAGGGCCCCTCGGTCTCCTCGGTTGCCGCCTTGCCGTGGCGCTGCATCGATCTCCGCCCGGCGCGCCACGTGGTCCGCGCAGTCCGCGCGGCGCTCCCGGCGCTTGCAACGCCGCGAGAGAACGAGGACGGGAGCCGCCAGCCCCAGGAGGGCTGGGGTGGATGTCAGAGGTACTCACAGCAGTTGCATGCACCGGAAAAAGTGAGCCTATGCGAGCCTAACAAGTGACATCAGGCTTTTGCTGTGGGTGTGGCTGCGGAGCTGTGAGATATAGAAGTTTTGCCTGTTTTCCGTCAAGAGTGGGCTACGGGACACCTCGAGCGTTTGGTCAAACAATAGTCTTGCAAGCAGTCTTACCGTGACTTGGAACTGCGACGTCCAAAGTTTCAAAGGGGCAGTATATGCGCTGCATACAAGTAGTGGTCTTGCGCTGCATAGGTCGCTTCACTTGCAATGGACGGAAAAAGGATGAGCCACGTGAATCATGACGTAAGCTTCCTACCTGATTCTGTGGAAGGGCATGGAGGGCCCATTGCTGGACATGCCTGTTTTTGGTTTGTAAGAGGGTGCTGTATCAACTCTTGTGATCCACTTTGCTCAAAATTATGGTGAAACGGAAGAATTCGCTTTGTTCAAGCCACTGCTGTAAGAGGCTCCTCCTGGCCTTGGCCTTCTGTGCGGCTCTGGTCACCTGGGCTGTGCACCTGCTGGATGAGCATCGTGCACGACGGTGGCTGCGGCATTGGCATCGATGGTGGCGGCACCATAGGCTCAGCAGCTTAAAGAGTCATGTTGGTGCTCCAACCACAACCAACCCAGCTCACCCTGATATATCCTGAAATGCAGCTTATGATTTATTTATGTGCCATCCCACTGACTCAGCGGCTTTGCCGGATCCTCATGCTTTCCCGGGTTTCTCAGTGTGTTTGCGCCTCCCGTCCCATGCTCAGTTCGTGTGCCATCGCATGCTTCGACTGCAGCAGGTCCTGGTTCACCAACGAGCGCCTCGCCATCCTCGGCGCGCTGCTGCTGGCGCTGCTCAGCGCTCCGCAGCGCGCGGAGCGACGACGCCAGCAGCTGCGCCGCAGCGGCCGCAGCAGAGGAGCAGCTGCACGTACGCCCACATCCGAGAGGCTGCGTGGGAAGGGGTCAGATGCGCTAACAGGTTGATAGGTTGATAGTGATTGGTGGCTCACAGGCTGCTTGGATTTGGTTGGCTGGTTGATTTAGTTTGGTGCTCTGTAGGTTCATGTTGGCTGGATTGATTGGTCGGTTGGTTTGCTTCGTCGCCTAAATGAGTGTTTGAGTTCCTTAGACATGGGTTTCTTATGGTTTCTTCATGTCTCTTCGGTTCTTTCCTTTTCTTCCCAGGCGTTCTTCCCGGGTCACCCCAGTCTCCGCTGTGAGTGCGCGGGAAGATGCCTTGGAGCAGCTGCATCGAACCCTCCAAGAGGCGGTGGGGTCGGCGACGCACGGCATCGTCTCATGAGGGTCGGTCACTGTGACGCGATGCGTGGGTTCGGGGTTCCAGGTTCGGGTTTGACTCCAAGTACAGTTAAGTTAGGCAAATGAGGCAGATTACTTGGAGCAGAGCATCAGGAAAAGGGCGCAAGAAGCTGGAGCACTTGCGAAGAAGCAAGCAAACCGGAGAGGTTCCAACATCTACCGCAACTTGGGGTGATTCTTGCGGCACCCGAGCCCACCCGGCTCCAGTTACCCAGGGCGATGCCGTGCGCGCCGCGATCCTCATTGAGACCTGGGGTCAAGGCGGGTCCGTCACGGACGTCCGGTCGTAGTCCGGGAGACTTCAAGGAAGCTGGAGTAGAAATGAAATTGGAAGGTTACGGAAACAGGCTTGATATTACATAAGTTTATTACACAATCGATTTAGATATACATATATAATCATATATATATTATATTATAAGGTGTTACTTGGTTTTACCATATACTGTATCTTCTGTTGAGACATTCACCGGGTCAGTGAGGGCCCCATCACCAGACAGTTCTCGGCCGGTGTTTTCCCACATGTTTGGCAGGGTCATCAATGGATCCATTGCAGCGCCCGGAGTTGCAGATCCTCTTGGAGGAGGATGGGCAAAGTGCCTGGATAGATGGAAGTGATTCCGTGGCTCAGGGTGACAAGACGCAGAGGAAATGACGAAAAGACCCTGATCAGTATCTCGATTCTAGATGCATAGATAGGCACATCCATGCAAGTCTCCAAGTATTGTGGCTGATGTTCCTGGGTCCAAAACACAATCTAGATCCAGCTATGTTGTCCAACTAACGAACCAACAAACCTACACAAGCCATAAAATCGAGAGAGCCTATCTCAACTACAGCAGCATGAGATGACCACCAGACCATCCCAGACCATCCTGGTGCAGGCGGCCCGGCGGGCACCAGAGCTGTTGCCCTGCCTGGCCAACGAACTGGAACAGCGAGGACGGTTAGTCGAGGTTCGGTGGTCGATTCGTCGAGGGCATGGGGTCGGTCGTGGCTGACTTGAAGGCCAACCCAGGAAAAGTGGATTATATTACAATATGATATACCTGCAAAACCTTTTTGGGGATAAGAACAAGTGGAAACTAAGGTGAAACGATACTTTTCAAGGAAACCGAGAACGTCAGAAAGGGGTTCCTTGTTTGTCTTGGAGTCTTTTTGGGCCAGGTACTCCACTCGTCGATGCATGTGGCTGGGACCTAGAGGGAGGTCAAGCCAGTTTGCAGGATGGTTTTGACCCTCACGCCCTTCTACAGTAATTATTTTGCAGTTAGAAATAGTGTAATTAGTTGGTCTGAACTTGAGCTACATCTGCACTGGTCCCTGAAAACCCTCATTGCAAGGGAATGCGATATCCAAACATTATTGCCCAAGCATACCAAATGGATCCAAATGAACCCAAATGGCTCATCCATTGAAACTCTTTTCCTCCACGAGTCGTGGACGGTCACAACTTCCATCGCCGAATGCAGCGGGACCACCGAGCCATGAAGCCTGCGAATGACCAACGCTCGACGACTCCGCTCGGCACGACTTCGCTCGGCTCCTCCCGATGGGCCGAAATGGAGCTCGGCTAAAAAAGCAATCGCCCGCAACATCTCGCCTTACGTTTGTGATGTCGCTGTGTTACGCAGTTTTGCGCGGCCTCGGTGGACAGTTTGTGTGCGCTGGTGAGCAGGATGGTTTCTGTGTCCAGAAGGCTTGGTGTCACATGTTTGCATCTAGCCTGTGGGATGGTCTGGCGAAATTAAAATTACATCTTCGATGCTGCTGCGCAAGGCGGTTTGACAGGAACATAGCGGAACAGACTCCATGCGTCGAAGTGTGATGAAAGATATGAAAAGTAGTATATAGTCGTGCATGATCGCTCATGATTCATGATCGTGAACGCTTCCTTCGTGCATGGCTGATGGTTTAAGCAGATTGAGATTGTAGATGATCATAAACATTTGCGTCCATGTGATCGCCGAGTCCTTGTCTCACTTCCCATGCGGAAGACCATTCCAGATGGAGCGAACCATCCTAGTTCCCCTTCAAGCATGTAACGTACCCTGCGAAACAAGATGAGAGTGAAATATTGTAGCGTGTGTACTCTTCGATCTCGAACCTGCGGAGGAGGGTGTTGGACTCAGGGACGAGGTCCATGTCCTGCTGTGCTTCTTCGTTTATGAGTATGTCAATGTTTTCCAAGATGATCCTGAATGTGACGTCTAAGACGATGGTAAAGATGATATGACGCTCAAAGGCTGGCCAACTTGCTCGCAAAAAGCAAACCCAATATATTCCAATAATGTTCATAAGCATTTCAGACGTTTGTCGTGTTTATTGAAAGTTCCTATGGATAGTCGCAACAAGCTATAACCCGTCATGAGCTTTTCTTCACTAGTGAGGAACATGTTCGACACGACCTGGAAAACGACGCATCATGTTCCATACAATTAGCGGGCAAAATTTTCCATACGGGAACCTAAAAGAGTATTTCAAAAAGATGTATTAACACGTTAAATAATATGTCTATATTTTAGTGACAATGAGATTTTCCTATATAAGTTTCTTGAACTTATGAAAAGTTTACCAGAAAGTTTGGAAGTATTTACTTACTTACGCAACCACACGAGTCCACCTCGTTGCTGTCATCAAAGTTTTGAGACAGACTTATCTTGAAGTGTTTTTTGCAAGCTTATAGGATCTCAAATTCAACAGAAATAGAGTGGCGATGCAGAAAGGCCAGAGTTTCCCCAGCTAGTCTGCGCCACACCGTGTGGAAACCCTTCCAGCCCGCTCGCTCCTTGCGTTGACGAGTGGCAGGAGTTTCCTTGGACTGGTCGGTGACGAACGACTGCCGCGCCAACTTCGGGCGCTACGCGTTGGATTCGGCGCTGGAAGTCCTTGTGAAGGCGGGGAGGGCGAGCATATCCGAGCGTCATTGGACGAGGGACATCAGGGATGAGGGGTGCTAGGGGAAAGGGATCTGCCAATTTCTAAGAGGGTCCTTCTACAGTCAGTAGTTCTACGCGTTTGTTGCGCAAGTATATTTGTATCTATGGGAAACATGCAGAAACATGTGGTGAAACATGTGGAGAATCAGGAGGATTTGCAGAGATTGAAGAGCTGAAACAGTGACTTATAATACATACGAGAGGTTTCAGCAGTGGCCTGTCAAGAAGATCACATCTAAGAACACGGGCTTAAACAACGGCGTAGTATCCCGATCGCAGTTTTGTTGGATTTGTTGGAAAACTACCAAGAAGGGGGCCGTTCTGGTGCGTGCTTTTCATTTGGTCCGACCAAAGACTTTTGTCCTTTGCTGAGGAGACCCGCAACGAGCAGGTGGCCTTGTCCTTGCTGAGCATTGGCCAAGGCGCGGTTGCAGATGACAGCCCAACCAGGAGATTATCAGAAAAGTACTGGTTTATCAGCCCAGAAAGGTTTGGTTCACATATTGAGGATGTCTTCCGGGCGACTTCATCCGACGAAAGTGTGCACAAACATCACAGCTACATGCTGCTGGCAATGCACGGACACCTGCTCCTTACAACAAACTGTGTCCCAAAAGACATCGTCTTTGGAAGACAACGTCCCTGTGTCCCTTTGCAAGGTTTGACCAGATCTCTTACGCCCCCGCAATTAGAAGAAATTTGCCAAGCATTTGTGGACCATCAACCAGCCACAGCTGCGTCCGACTATGCGCAGCAACTGGGTGTTGTAGCCAGGCAGCGGTCAAGGTGACACCTCTCAACTGTTTCTTGGCTGACCTACTCGGGCGATTTCGACGGACCTACGAGTTTTTGCTTTGCTGATCCGGTGGAGTGAAACAAAAGGCGAGAAGCGACTTTCACCAAACTGACTCTCAGGCAGAAATGCGACTCTCTGGTGATATGTGTTTCTCCAGCGCCAGAGCAACAGTTTCGGCAGCAGAGGCCGCTGACTCTATAAGCGTCGATGGACCATCAGCCAACAAAACTAACATAATGTACTGAGAATGGTCATTGATGGAGGGCCAAGTGGGAAACCGGAAATGAGAATCTTGAAGTATCCAATGTTCAGAACCGGTGAGCTAGAATCAACCAAAAAATGACTGGAGAGCCCGAAAAGGACATGGGTCACGGGGAAGACGATACAAAGGTCTTTAGGTGGTAGCCATGTCAATTCTCGAGCTTTTGACTAGTGTGGGTTCCCGTTCCCAAGTTGTCCCATTCACCAGTCATAGAAACTGAATTTGGACTAGTGCCGAGTGGAAGAAAATGTTCATCTACAAAGCAATGGCACACGGAGCAACGCTAGAGGATGATTATTCCAAAACCGGAAATCTTGCAGCAAGGGTACGTCCTGGTGGACACCTCCCCCTCGGAGTCTCCTCATCCCTGAGGGATGCAGATCCGCTGATGCGTGCAGCAGCGGCGCAGGGCATGACGAGGCAGTGGTGGGGAGGTTGCGGTAAGGGATGACGTTCACCAATCTCTTGTTTTACTTGGGGCTGGCCTGATGTGGTTTGATCCACCCAAACAGACGAAAACGTTTTCCTGTGGGCACCTCGCAATCGAGAGAGACACAGAGTGTACCAGCACTGAGAAGAGAAAGAGACCTTAGGAACATCCGAATTTCTGGAAAGACACCTACTGGTCGAATGTTTGTTGCATGACTAGCATTGACTACCACCTGGATAAGCCGCCTTATGGCCTATGGTGTTCCACCTTGGAACGCTTGGAGTTGTTGAAGCTAAAGCGGCTACCAGGGGCAGATGTCACAGCCTCCCCCACTTCGCCGTTCGACCGGGTCCCGAGCGGCGAGACGTAGGTTGGTTGAGCGACTGGTGAAGGATTGTGGCGCCTCAGTCAACTCCAAGGAACGGCCAGAGGTGTTGAAGACATGGGTAACTAGGGTATACATAGGGTATACATGGGTTGGGTGTGCTATGATGTATGATGTGGCATGGATCTTTGAGTGCTTTTAGTTTCTTGGCTTTAAGGTAAATGAGGTAGATGATTTGGTCACGTCATTATTTTTGGTATATTTCCAGAATTCCCAAGCTCCTCCTTGCATAGCCTTTTTCCTGGAGATTCTCAGCTCCACAAAGGACCCTCGCTTTGGCAGCACAGCTTTGGACCGTGCAGTAGATGCTGGGAAGGCTGGAAATGGCTGGGAGGATTTGCGTTCCAGGGGAGATGAATTCCAGCATTTCAGGGCTTTGGGAGTCGTTCTAGGAATTGGTGCGTAAAAGGTTCTGTGGGTGCTAACAGCAGGGCCAGTGAAAGTCAGGCTTTGCTTGGGGTATTGCAGATTGCTCCCAAGAACGTTGAACTGACCATGTGATGCAGAGGTTCTAGCTGGCCCATTGGACACTTGGTTGGCTGTGAGGATTTGCTGTAGATTTGTAGAAGAATTCAGCTCTCCCGTCACTCCAAATCATTTGTCAGAGGCCACACTCAGATCTCTTCGCATTTCAGTCATGTTTGCACTTTGGTTTTGACCAGGCCAGTGCATCTCAGGTGGTGGGTGAGAAACAAGATGGAGCCCACGAGCCCGAATGCAACCACGTATGTCGATCTACTGTGTACAGAAAGAGATACAGCCGGTAAAACCCTTTTTTCACGCTCCGGCTCGGTGCTGGACATCGTGTGCCGGGGACTCCACCACCAAGGCAGCATGTGCTGGGGACTTCACCACCAAGCTCCCTAGCATTCATGAAGGGTCTAGTTTTCGTTTTGCATTCAAATCAAGCACTGGCGTAAAGGTTGTGGCAGATCCACATCACGAAAGAAACAATGGCATTGTCCCGCACCGTGTGGACATCGAGTCTTATGCGCTATCCTATAAAAATCATCCAGCGCCGGGGGCTCCACCACGAAGGCAGCCTGGGCTGGGGATTGTCAACATCTTAAAAATCGAAGACAATCCAAATACGGTTTCTTCATGGGTGTCTGGGCACAGCTCCAGCATGCTGTATCTCCTCGGCATGCAACTTGGCCGCTTGCTCCGCATCCATCTCCAAGGCAAAGGTTCTTGACGCAACCAATGCGAGAGTCTTTTCAGACACAGCTCGGACGCTGCCTGGGCTTGCCATCCCCCATGTTGTAGAGAAACATATCCGTCTCGAAGACTTGCTTGTCGGGGTCGCAGAGCGAAATGAAATCACTTCAGAGTGTCGAACCAATACAGCACCGTCGAAAATCTCTGGCTTGGGTTGGTCCTTAGCTGCAATCACCATAGTGATCTGCTCAGGTGTACTCTTCGTCGGCTTGTGGCGCAAGCCCACTGGAGTCTTTTCAAAGTCATGCAGAGAAGCTATCGGTAAGATGTGCCCCATCTGCGCTTGCATCGTTTAAGCTCTCTTCTCTCTAATTACAAAAAGATGCTATTTCTCACCTCTCCTCACCTCCTCACTAATCACCTCTCACTTCTTTACACATGAGACTTGAAAATATACCCGTTTGTCAATTTCATCTCGTCTGCCTCGCTTCCCTGGAAGACATATGACACTGCCGGTCGTCCATCTGTGTTCCACGGCAATAACAACCCAGGACTTCAAAGTTGGCCACCGTGGTAGCTCCATACGTAGTCGCACGTTGAGATCCGAGAACGGTAAGCTCCAAACATTTCACACGATACCACCAATCATGCCGCTCACCAGCGACACACCGCGTTTGCACCAGCATGTTTCGCGCTCCCCAGTGGCACGGCGCCACGCAAACGCACTTCCCACCCAGGCCGCGCAAATCCCAATGGCACTGCAACATCACGAACGTAATTTCGCCGCACGGTCTGCCCATACACTGGAAGCATATCACATGATACCGCCAATCATCCCGCTCACCAGCGACACGCCGCATTTACACCACCATGTTTCGCGCTCCCCAGTGGCGCGGCGCCACGCACACACACTTCCCACCCAGGCCGCGCAAATCCTAATGGCACGGCGACATCAAGAACGTAATTTCGCCACACGGTCTGTCCACACACTAGAAGCAAACATATCACACGATTCCACCAATCATCCGCATGTTTCGCGCTCCTCAGTGGCACGGCGCCACGCAAACACACTTCCCACCAAGGCCGCGCAAATCCCAATGGCACTGCGACATCACGAACGTAATTTCGCCACACGGTCTGCCCATACACTAGAAGCAAAAACCTATCACGTGATACCACCAATCATCCCGCTCACCAGCGACACGCCGCGTTTACACCAGCATGTTTCGCGCTCCCCAGTGGCACGGCGCCACGCAAACGCACTTCCCACCAAGGCCGCGCAACTCCCAATGGCACTGCGACGTCGCGAACGTAATTTCGCCACATGGTCTGCCCATACACTACAAGCGTTTCGTATGAAACGTCCTCCAAAAGTCATGCGTACAGTCTCCAAAACGAGCGTTTCGTAGGAGACTTCCTCCAAAAGTCATGCTTCGAGCCTGCAAGACGAGCGTTTCGTACGAGACTTCCTCCAAAAGTCACGCGTCAAGTCTCCAAAACAAGCGTTTCGTACGAGATTTCCTCCAAAAGTCACGCGTCAAGTCTCCAAAACAAGCGTTTCGTAGGAGACCCCCCCTCCAAAAGTCACACGTCAAGTCTCCAAAACGAGGGTTTCGCATGAGATTTCCTCATAAGTCACACGCCAAGTCTACAAAACGAGCGTTTCGCACGAGACTTCCTCAAAAACTCACGTCACATGAAAGTCTGCAAAACGAGACTTCCTCCCAAAGTCAAGCGGAAACACCCATCGGAGCACACACATCACGCAGCCCTGCCAGCAGTTTCGCGATTCCAGCCCCTCCAAACAACACCCGCTCACACGCCAATCCCAATGTCACAGCGACACTCACCTCTACCGCAACTCACGACCTCATGATTCCCTGCGCCTGCCGCGAATCTTTCCGCGTCCACGCGTCTAACGCGCACAAAGTACTGCGCCTGCCACGAAATGTCACCTCCGTCACACCTCGCAACCTCACGATTCCCTGCGCCTGCCACGAAACTTGCACGTCCGCACCTCAAAACCCGCACAAAGAACTGCGCCTGCCACGAAAAGTTACAATATCTTTTCATGTGAGCTTCAACAAAATTTGCACCACACCACACGCTGGAATGATTTCGACCCGTTCTGAGCACACTCCCATCCACCAAAATTGCCATTTCAGCTGAGACTTGTCACGAAAACAGAGCTTCGATGCGACATCCTGAAACGCAAATGCCACATTCAACACCCCAAAAACATCCTTGAAAACTGCGGATCTCACAAAACGCTGCCTGGGCAGTGAAATCATCCTCCATACTTCAACATCTTACATTTCCACACGTTTCCACGCTATTTCACACGAATCTGACATGTCACGTTTGCGTCCGAAACCCTCTCCAAAAGCTTCCCCAATGGCAGCGCCTCAGCGCCCTACTGCGAACGGTGGCGGACGGTTGCGGAAGCAGAAACAACGCGTCGCGAACAAGGCTCTACCCCCAGACCCCAGAGTTAAACGAGAACCCTTTGCTATGCACTCGGGAAAAAGCCAAATGGCGGAACGTGGGCGAAGACCTTGGTCACAACCGCATGACCGGTCATGCCATGAGTCGTTCCGACTTGTTGAGTTGGCTTCAAGTTTCAGGAGCAGACCGCCTTGAAACTCCTTCAGTTGGGCGCTGATCCCTTTGCAGGACGAGGGGCCACTTGTCCACAACCGAGCGATGCGAAGAATGGCGAAGGACAGCTGCGAGGAGCATCACTCGGAAGAGTTGGGGTCTATGGGCCTAGGATTTTTGCAGGGCTGGAAGTGTTGATTGATCAAGTTGGATGCTTCTTTGAGTTCACGTTTGGGGGGCTCAACTGCACTGCACTGTCTTCACGCAAGGGCTGTTTGGTTTGCGCTTGCAACATCCATTTCTCAAGATCAAGTTTCTTTAGAAGGGATCAATAAATTCAGCACTTTTTTGACCAAAGGCGGCCAACAAAAACATGGGAGTCACAATGTTTGATCCGTTTTTATTCTTGCATATCCCACATTCTCACATGTTGTTTTTATTGTTGTGTTGGTTGCAAACACACTGGATAATCGCATGAGGTGGTTTGTTCATGTGACATGTGTGTTTTGTGTTTTGTCTTGGGTAATCGCCACAGCAATTGACCCACGTGCTCTCACATCCCAAATCCGACTTGAAGAGTCAATCCCAGCTGGCTCGTTGTCGCTCCAAAGAAGTTACCCCAAACAAGATCAGCATTGCTGAAAGTCCCCATCTGACTTGAGCCAGCTGAGGTGACGTTGGCAGTGTGCAAAGGTCAAGGTACTTGCAAGAGTTACCATGTTATCAACAAAACACCCAGTCTTGAGCGGTTTATCCGCGTAATTGCCAGGGTGTTGTCGTTTTTTGTGCTCGAAATCCCCGCTAAAACAGTGGATGGGTCGTGAGGAGCGCGACGCCACATCCGCAAATTCAAGACCAAAACACCCGGCTTTTGTCCTAGTCATTCATGGCTATGGATTTAAGCATCATTTATACAAATAATGCAATATACATGTAGTTATATATGCATGTATAATCATGTATATATTATATGGCTTCAACTGGAAAAGGATCACCGCTCTCCCGGACCGTCTCCCGGACGTCGATGTTCCACTCGGCCGAGTGCTGGACCGGAGTCTCTTCGCATCGACGTCCGGCCAACGCTGAGGTGGGATACATCTTGGCCCGCGCGGGGCCGGAGGCTGGGTCAAGGAATGAACGAAGTCAAAGTAACGAGAGGGAGGATATGCCAACTGGTTGCTGATGTGAGTTGTTCATGGTTTGTTGGATGTGAGTTGAAGAGAGGTTTGGTTAAACATGAGAGGAGCATGTCTTGTGTTTTGTTCGCAAGGAAGGTACAACTCCCATTACTTTTGTGATTCTCAAGAAATGATGTCGCCCTGCGGCCGGCAGAGAGTTGAGTATAATATATTCTTGCCGCCTGAAATCTCATGCACTTCACATGGGGATGCGGGTTGAAACATTTGTTTGTAAGCAGTGATTTGGAGGAGACGGCTTCAAGAGAAACTCATAGTCTAGGGAGTTTCCTTGTGGGGACGAGATCCCTCAATATTCGGTGCCAGGCACTTTTTGTACTGTTTCGACCAACTTTCTGAGGATGTTCGTCGAAACTTCCTGAGGATGTAGGTCATGTGCACAAAAGCAAAGACCTGAGCACCTTTTGCCATTTACCTGTATCTAAGTATTCCGAGTCCACTCTGTCTCTGTGTTGGCAATCACGTGCAACTATATATAACGCATTCATGTATTATAGTTGCATACTATACTTACATATTTATTATAGTCCACTCTATCATGTATCAGATTTGACCTTTTGTGACATATTTGTCTCAATCACATTTGCAAATCGATTAGTGACCCATCGTCCACCCACTCTCAGCCCACCCAAAGCCCCCGACTCGAAAGCGCTGTGAGAACCATCCCTCTTTATCTAAAAGGTAAAACACTACAGGGTGATTTACTATCATACTTACAATGGATATTACAAGTATACATTGTGGTGGTTTACATGGATAGGACCTACTATGCACATCCAACGAACTCGACCAAACTCGTTCCACCCTGCCAGGTGCGAGCCCAGCTCCCGACCACGAGCGTCGCTCGGGAGGAGGTCCCAACGGACCTGTCTGAGGTGCCTAGGGACTTTGGTGACTGGTCCGGTGGGGACTTTGGGTCACGGAGGGTCACAGACGGCTATTTTGTAGTGGTTTCTGCTTGACATCTGATGTTCGGTATACAAGGGTATAAATAGATTTGTGGTGCTTTCGAGTGGTTCAGTTTTGATTCAGTTTCAAGGGGATGCTTGTGTTGTTCTCCTTTTGTTCAATGCTGTGCTTGCCTGGTTGTTTTTTGCACCCCAGTCTTGCAGTTTGAGGGTTCAGACTGCGTCAACCAAACATGTGGAGCCAACGGACGCAGCGGCTCCCAGGCCGACTTTGAGCAGCTCCGACAGCGGCTCCCAAAGATCTCGGAGCGCGGACCGCGCGTTCAGCGTGCTGCGCGGTGATTTCAGTGATTCCACCGTTTTTTGGAGGGACGCGTTTCTGTAGATCAGAAAGGTCACATGAGACAGGCTGTCAATCTCAAGAATATTTGAGCGTATGGGACCATCTATCTATCCAAGTTCCACTGTTTGGAATGTGGGAAGCCAATGGTTGCTGTTCACTGCGGTAATCATGCTCGTGACATGGCAGCAAGCGTTGAAGGATTAGCCATTTGTTCAATACATACTGTTGCTTCCCCACCCAGGATCCGAGCCAAGAATGATTGTTACAGATTGTTGCGATCTTGGGGGGGGGCCCTTAGCGAGTTTCACTGTTGGGCTGACAACTCAATCAGTATCCGATTTTTGCCGGTTGCAGTTGTTCCATGTTGGTCCATCGAACCTCCTGCCGTAGCACAAACTCACAAGACAAGCTATAGGGCAATCAGTAGACAGAGTGTTCACATGAAAGCGGTAAACCAGATATAGTTACCGATTGTAACTTGTTTAGATATATTAATATGTTTAGATTTGTTTCTATATGGTTCTATGATTTTCTATGGTCATAATGTCAATGTATTCCTGAAGTGCCTCAGCTCTCCCCCATCCAGTTAGCTCGGATATTGACAGCTCGGTAGCCGCCCGCTCTGATCCATGAAAAATGATTTTTCTTGGTTGCTAGGAGCGCATGGTGCTGCAAGAGCTCCAAAGCAAGAGGCGCGAAAAGCGGATTGAGAACTCGATCGCGAGCATAGCGGAGCGAGACGCCTTTGCACAGGTCCGAGGACGGGATCCCCAAGTCTAGCTGTTGAGGACTACGACTAGGTCAGCTACGGGGTTCTACCACCTATATAATTACTCAGTAAACTTCAGCTTGAGTAGACCTAATGATGTGTTTCTGCTGTGTTTTTGCGCAGAAATTGGGGCCTAAAGGAATGGTTGATCGGGGTTGATCCAGCTCGCTTGAGAGTTTTCTTTGCACTTGATACACGCTTCGTGTAGTGAAAGCCGTCAGAACACCGCCACGTTCGTCCCACCGGTGAAAGGAACTCATCGTCGGTGGGTCGTTGGCTTCGAGTGATAGGGTCCATCGATGTTCGAGCACTGGTCATGGCTTCACCGAAGGTCACCTGACCGGGGATCAAACAGAGATCCAACGATGGAGGCTCTCCAAAGTGCAGCTGGCACAACTCTTGCAGGAAGCCGCCAGGCAGGGGGGGTGGTCAAGGAGGTGGCATAAAACAACTCGGCAGTGAAAAGGTTGATGAGGTTGATAGAAAAGGTCCAAGAGGTTCAGATCCATTGGCGTTTGACCTTTTGAACATGGTTTTGGGTCATCTTTGGCCATTTGAGCCGCTGTGCTTTGTCCCATTGGATGGAGACAGCTAGTTGCCCACACTGAGGTGTTGGAGATCCGTTAGCCTCTCCAACAAACCGGAACACGTGTCCTTCTGATGAACCCAAGTGCCTTCTGGGGCACGTAATGAGACGGTTGCATTGAGGCCAAGAAAAAGCACTTGTTTTGTTGTATGGAGGTGTTGTTCTGTTGGCACTGAATTGCACATCACGCATTTGTGGTTGAGTTTGTATACGTGCGCGCGCCGTCCCCTTTGTATCTAGGGTCCACCAAGACAGCTACCATGAGCAGCCAAAACAACTGAGCATTGCAGAGGGTCAATGAGTTGGACTCACATGGCGTGACTGAGCAGCCAGCTCTTCATCAGACAAAGTGTTTTCAGAACCCGCCATCCAACGTGTTACTGGACAAATAGACATTGGAGTTGACTCGGTTTGGTGACTTGCCATTGCTCAGTTGGCCCTGGAGTCTTGATTGTCTTCCCTAAAAAGGTGGCGTCCAGTCAGCAGGCAAAAGTCAGGAAAGTCATTGACTACAATTACAACTTGCATCAGTGACACCAGATATATATATATAATTGAATATGCCAATGACACCGTATATAATTATTTTGAATAGAAAAGCCAACTGCCCTAGGCACAGTCATGGTTCCCCAACTCACCCGTTTCCCCTCCATTGGGCTTTTGATATCTTCGTTCTTCAAGAGTGGAGAAGTTGATCAAAACTGTTTCAAGAAACTTGAAAACCTGTTGTCCCAAACACTTGTGATTCCTTGTGTGTTTCCCAAAACTTGTAATGGAATCTTGCATCATATTGCCCCACCATGAACCCAATCTCCTAAAACCTAACCCTCGAGGCTTGGCTTTCGACCTCGGCTGCTGGAACACCTCTGCGAGGGCTTAGAGCGTCAACAGGTGCCCTTGAACTGGGATCAGGCACGGACCGACGGCTAGACCCATGTCCATCCGGTGGAACCGGAACCGGATCCGGACCCAAGACTCCAGAGTTGATTGGGGATTGGTTGCTGGATATTATCCATGTGTCTTTTTCTGTGTTACAAAGCCTAGCCGAGAACCACCAAGGGAAAAGAACCGTTGCATTTGCAGTTGCATCTCTATCATGCATACTGGTATCACTAATTATAGGGAGTAGGCTGCACTCATGACCATGGCCCGTGTTTTCACTGTTCTTTCCGTGTCTCGCCAGGCCAGTGTTTTGGACGCGGCCTTTGCTCGAAGGCCTTTGGATGCAGCCTTGGAGACTGCGGTGGAGGCGTTGAACGAACGCCACGAGTGGGGGACGGGGAAACTGCACCGGAACAAGCTTAGACTTACTTACAGTATATAGATCCCTTTTGTTGGTTCAAAGCAGTCGCTTGGCTTTTTCTTGGAACCACATGCGTTACATAATGTGGATCATGTTTTTCTGAACAACGCCATAGGCATCGCATGGCATCGCCACAAGTGAATCCGGGCTGCTAGGAGAATCCGGACGCCCGGGCCGCAGTGTGGCTGCTGGACGAGGGCATCAAAAACTCCAACGGAAGGCAGGAACTGTTGGATATCTTTGGGTAGGTTGGGAGACAAGAGAGTCTGTTTCCAATGAAACAATGAGACCACTTTCTGGGGCCAGTGCTACTTTGTGCTCGGTCAACCAGGACTTGTCAAGCTTCAAAATCAATGGCGCCCAGATCAACCACCAGTCTCCAGGCACTCCAGGTGCGTTGTTTCTTCCTTTTTCGTGGTGTTACCAGCGACCGCGCATGGATCTTTGCACCAGGAAGTCCCGGTTGAACGCCAATCCCTTGCTGCGCACAGCCGCTAGTAGGCGCCAGTGATCTCGACAGCCGGATCTCGTTGGGCGTTTTGGGGACTTCGAGTGGGTTGGGCGCCTTCTGGGTTCGAGTGAATGGACAAGATCAGAATCTCACCATGTTGACCATGAAAAGCACAGGTGTTCTTGGCCGAGCACATCCACTGGTTACCTTACCGAAGCTGACCACATTAAGTTGACAAAGTCTTGCTGCACTGGGTCAACACTCACAGACCATTGCATTTGTACATTCGTTGGAGGCCAACCTGCCCATTGCTATTGACTTTGTGCATGATTGATGTCTCTTGCCACGCAAGTCTTCCACATTTCCTTGAGTATAGCTACATGGTGTTTTCTCAAACGTGAGGGCAAATTTTGCACATGCCCTCTACCTAACATCAGTGCCAAAACCAAAACCAAAACGCAGCGTTTGACAAATCTCCAGCTCGAGTTCAGCGCCAGTGATTTAATACACGGGGCTGTGCATAGGACGAACCAGCACACATAAGATTCAAAAGTCACACTTGCTGTGCGCATCGCGATGTGATCCTTTTATTGTTGGTCAGTTTGGCTGGGAACTTAGCATTAACCGACTCCTTACATGGTACTCGTAGAGTAATAAAAGCAGGAGCTTGTTGGAAAGTACCAGGCTGTGGAGAAAGATAGGGGACACCGCGATCTGGATAGAAAAGCGCTAGAATGCTCTAGGTAGGAAGTTCCACCGTGGCTTGTATTTGTCGCAATGGTCTCAAAAAAGGCGAGACCATGCGAGACCTGTAAATCGTTGTGATACAGAGAATTCATAATACATGGTTGGTGTTGTAATTCTGGCAGCTTAGTTGTTGCTCTTACTGGGCCAATTCCAGAGGCTGGTTCTCCTGTGCAGGTGCCAAGTGCCTTTGATTGAACGCCTGGTGGAGATCAACGCAGAAGCTTCCCTTGGCAGTTGGAATTCGACAGGATCAATGGGTTGAATGGCCTTAGGCAGTTTTGCCTTTTTGTTTGTATGATGATGCCTTTGTTTCTAGATGTTGTTTTTCCCCAAAATTAGAAATGATTCCAGTGGTTGCCCCATTCAAACCTGTTCAAAAGCTGTGTTTTCCCGTTCCCCGGCAGTTTTTGGTTTCAAGAAGCGCGCAACTTGGAGCAAGCAAGTAGGTGTTCATCAACCTGTTTGAAACTACCTGAAGGCCTCCTTGACAGCTGTTCCAATGCAGAAAGTGTTTGGTCACTGCGGACCGACTGCTTTGTTTGCCCAACAATTACCATTGGACTAGACACTAAGCAACCCGACTATTGGCCAAAAAAGGTTTGGTTCATCCCACTTGAAGGGCAAACTCCAACAGTTACAAGAGTACAGCAGTGTTAGGGGCCAAAGCCATGGCAGCCATTGATCGGGCATCCAAGCCGTCCATGCACATCCCACCATTCCCGTCTACCGCAGAGCATCCAGAACGAGATCCACTAACATCACTGAGTCCAATGTTCAAGCCTTCCAGCAGTCAGATCCTTTTGTTCCCGCCTTTGTTCGGATCTCTCTGCAACTTCGGAACCTGGCCGTCTTCAACCATAAGATAAAGTAAATCCCTGTTTGTTTGTTTGTTCAAATGAGAATGTGTATTCGAATTCTGTTTGTTCCGATTTGTTCATTCTGTTTGTTCATTCTGTTTCCAGTGATTGAATTCCAGGATTGGGATTCGGTGCTGTTTTCCAGTTGGTCGACGCGGAGTAGAGGACCTCACGTGCCACCCCTGAGGACCCCAATGCGCCAGATCCTCGCTATGGCAGCACGGCGGGCAGTCTCAGTGGTTTTGAGGATGTTTGGGGATAGTTGACATGGTCCAAGCAGGGATTTTTGTGTGAATAGTCACATTCTCAATCCAATCAGAGCACATTTTGGACTAATGAAAGCCAGCCGATCATGATTGCGATGGCTTAATCTCATCTACATGAACGTATCACGGTGGCCTCATGTTCCGCTACTTCTGGGGGACGTGACTGGTACCGTAGGGCTGGAGGGTTCCACGATAGAGTCTTTGTACTGAAAGATGTCTTTGTCACTAGCACCCCTTTCGTTGACCTCAGATGGACCTTGAAGGTGAGAAGCCTCGGTATATCTATCTATGTACAAGCCAACTAAACCTTCCGTTACCTTTCGGGTAAGACTGCTTGAAGACCAACCTTCTGTAAACTGCAATCAGCAAGGGTGTTGCAGAATTTTGCACCATCTTGGTTAATTGCTAGTCACCACATTCTGCCATTTGTGAACGAGCACCCCTGAGTAAAGCCCGCCCAGTTTTGACGATCCTCCTCAGGTTTGGGGGGGTGCTACTGACAAAGACATCTTTCAGTACAAAGACTCTATCGTGGAACCCTCCAGTCCTACGGTACCAGTCAGTTGATCCCAGCATCCAAAAAGACCTCGATCAAGTCATATGACGTCCAAGAATCGAAATGGAACGATTTTCTTCGGGAGGACCATTCCCCCCATGACCAACGTCGACCCAAAACCGGGGTGGTTCCACCAAGCGATGTGGCTGCTGCAAGGATGGAAACAACGTGTTGGGGTTCTTTGGGAAAACTACTACCTTGTAGAACTAATGGATGCGAAACCAATGGGATTCACCACTATGAAGTTCTAATGATGTGTTCCATCGCTTAAGGCCCTGGACCGCGCCGTATCGGCAGGCGACTGGGGACCTGGGATGGTGGCATCCATGTGGAATAGTAGCTAGATTGTCGATAGATGTACAAAGCAGCGGATGGATAATGGGCAGATCAAAAGACATTGAGTAGAAGAGGCTTACATGCCTCTTCTTGTAGAATCATGCGAACAGTTAAAAAGTTGGAAAGAGATGAACTCGTCAACCGGGAGGCCGTGTTTGCAGTTGTTATTTTCTTGGTCAGGTCATTAGTCATTTAGTCATTTAAATTTATATAGCCTTTAGGGACTCTAAGAATCCGCGATGAGGTTTTCACGGCAAGTCCACAATTTATATTAGATCGCATCGCGGAAAATGCCCCGTACTCAGCAAACGATATTTGCTGAAATTGTGGTTCAGTATCTTTGGTGTAGTACCAACGACGATCACCCCGATTCATTGGTGTCGGTTGCATTGAGCAGTGGATGTGAACATTGAACGCCGTGAAATTCCTTGAGCAGGCATTAGTGGCGTTGTACTTTATGTATATATAGATGTTGACGCACAGATACTTAGATAGATTGCTAGATAGGCATATCGATAGATGTGGTATTTATAGCCTACTATTGGTTTGAATTGTGTATGTCTTATAATATATATATATATAACTTTTCACTTGATTCTACCAAAGGCCCTGGCTCCTTGGACCAACTAGCTCCTCCCACAATACTTGCAGGCTGCACCGGGGCAGCTTTGACCTTGCTCTCGCTGGGCGCGGATCCCGACGCCGGGCATGGTGCCTTGGCAGATGGAACCATCCAGACAGTGAAAGAAACACTTTCCCTGAAAGAAGAGGCAACAAACCGACCCTGGCTCTAATGCTTCTATGCACCTCCGTTAACTCCACCAACAAAGTGCATCCTGTGATCATCTCAATCAACAGCATCTAACCATATCTAACCTCTCGTTTTTTCAACCCACAAGTCGCACTCTTTTTAGATATCCCACCTCTCGTCTCCATAGGGAGTCCCCGCCAAATATAGACCTGCCAGGGTCCCAAGTCAGATCGTCGCACCAAAACTAGAAAAACAACCTACCCCAAAATAGCGACCGACCTATGCACTCAGACCGGTCTTCACCACATCCTCTTGAAACGACCCCGCGTCCTCTTCCGCCACATGTGAAGCGGTGAGACCTGTCGGTGCAACCTCTCCAGGTCGTCGCAGCTTACTGGAACGCGCCAGTCCGGAGGCGCGGTCCGGCCTACCCGCCGGTGGACGGTCGATGAGCGGAGTGTCCGAAGGTCCTGGTGCAGAATGCTCAATGTTCCATGAGCTTTCATTAACGGTTCCTTTTACAAAAGGGAATTTGACTCTTGAGTCAACATCAGCCACCAGGGTTAGCCACTTTGAACAGGTAAAAGCTTGCAGATTGGCCACAAAGCAGTTCCCTTGCTCAACTCCTTTTGGGACGGGAACGTTTACGGTATTTACCCTATGTGGCAGTGCCGCGGTCAAAAGATGGTTCCAAAAAGAATGTCTGAAGACGACTAGTTTGTACCGACGCTGATGTAGTCGTCATTGTCCTCTTTTGTTCGGTGTCTTTAGCATTCTTTAAATTGCTTGTTTGGGGGAGTGTTCCAGAATGTTCCACAAAAACAAAACCAACCTGTTGTTGATTTCGAACCATGCCATCCATAACGTGATGGAAGCCCTCATTATGCCAATCCCAGAGAGGACATCAATAAGGTCATTGTGGGTTTTTAACTCTTGAATTGCTATCAAATGAAATATTGCATATACATACGATCGTAGGATATATGATAAGAATACGTATATCACCGAAATATCCCTCGAACTCCTCAGAACATTTGGAGGTGGCAAAGAAAATTCGATCGATTTAAATCAAAAAATTATATATAATATTATAAATTAGCAAAAACAATGTTTAGATATATATATATATTAAATATATGCATTCAATATAACATTGATTTATTAATATGAAAATTATATATATATATATATATATTATTTTTAGTTATATATATAATTTTAAAAATATTAAATATATATTATATTATAGATAAATATATATATAAATAATTCTTTAATTTATATAGTATAAGATATAATGAGAATATGGTCTAAAGAAATATATATATATATGATTTTGAATTAGAAATTAAAATTTTAAATTGTTATAGGTTGATTTATTTTTTGTAAATATTAAAGGTATTTTGAATGTATTTTATATTTATTAATATAGGATATTAATCGGAATTATGTATATTGGATATGTGTTAATGGAAGATTATTATTAGGCCGTTTTGTTTAATTTTGGTGTTGGTTTTCTGTCTGATGATGATTATTAGTCGATATGAATGATTTGAAATTAATTTTTTTATTAGAATATTTATTTGTTGTGATGTATTTTTATGGAGGTAATTCGAATCGAATTTTGTTTATAATTTTCGATTATAGTGATTATTTGGAATTTTGATTTTTGAATATGGGATTTAATAATATCTATGTAAAGGTATGGAGTGAATACCTATTACGTGGGATCGCTCGAGGTGTTAATGTGGAAACAAGTAAGTTGCATGCGATGCTTTTGCTTAGCGAGCATGAATGCTTAAGGGGCCTTTGTGGACCAAGTTAGTGAAATAACGAACAGCGGGCGGCATATATGGAAACCGCTTATGCCAAAAGCTCTGTTCTGGGTTCTTTTACCATTGGGTGGTATCCAATTCACACCGGTGGTTGTGGCTAAGAAGCTCGTCAGAATTCTCGCCACTTCATCATCTCTTGCTGGGCGCAGCGCAGTAATTATATTGCTTCATTCATCGGCCCATGTGGTACTTGCTTCATTCATCGGCCCATGTGGTACTTGCTGCCTGTTTTTGTAGTCCACACTGACCTCGGCATTGGGTTGCGATCAAGCTCGTACTTGATGGCTTCCAGCTTGTCATAGGCAATTTGCCATTTGATTCTCACATCTTTGTATTTGCCGTCGAGCTCCCCGATGTCACCGGACAGGTAGTCCCGCATTAGGGTGAGGTCGTCCATTTCTTTTTCCAATTCGTTGTTCTCGCCCTCCAGCGCGTCGAGCTGGTCTTTGAGCTGGGCGTTGTAGGCATCTGAATCTCGTAGGTCTTGTTGAAATCGTGTGATCTCCATCTTGAGGAGGCCAAACACATTCTTTTCGAGGGCAGTCTCCGCCTGGGTGCCACATTCTTTTGTGCTAGAGCTTGGACTCTCTGTTGTCATCGTCCAGGTCTCTGTCGTTGTAATTGTCCTCAATGTCGTCGGAGTCGTCGTTGTAGCCCTTCCGCACATGTCCCATCCCACCATGGTCATCAATAGGATGAAGAGAGTGAGGGTCATCTCAGGAGAGAAGGCGAAGTCCAGGGCCATCTCGAAGCTAGGCTACATGGCTTGCACCATCATCATCTGCGAGATGAGGATTATGTAGGCCAGGCTGTGCCGATTCCCTGATCGACTGATCGCATGTTTGCGAGCATTGGCCTGCCGTTCAGCCAGAGTCTTCTTCTTGGCGGCCTGGAAGGTCATGTCTGATCGAAGGGAGATTTGGTGACTCCTCAACCGGTCGGCGAACAGCTGCCTTGCTGAGGATTTGGTGACTCCGTCAGCTAGCTGGATCTCTGAGCTAACCCAGCGCAGCTTCGTGTCCATGCAGAGCATCTTCTGCTTTGTGACCGTGACCTCGATCTTCGTCCGCTTGTCTCCTTGGAGACTGGGTGTCTCGGCTTTGAGGCTGTCGTAGATGGCTTTGGCGTCTACCACCAGAGCTGAGGAGAGAGAGGGCTTCAGCTCGTTGACCTGTCGAAGCTGGAAGTCGTGCTTCAAGCATCCTTCCCAGAAGATGAGGAGGTACTCCAAGGCGTCCATGGCTGCTGAGCAAGCTTGACTCACAGCATTCAGCGAGGATCTGCTGACCCTTGGTAGTTTGAAGCTCCTCCAAGCCAGGATGATATAGTCGTGGTCGGAGGTGTCATCGAGCACGGCCTTGTTGCAAAGAAGGACCAAATAGCCTCCTTGGCTCTCATTGTTTCTCCTCACACCCCAGGCGGCGTCACTTATCGCCACCATGCACAGGTTGTCCAGCGAACCTCCCAATGATCTGAAGATCAGACCAGCGTCGTTGTTGTTCTTGGCGAAGCGGAGGGTCTTGTTTGCTTGCTGGGCGACACCAACCGTGGATGTAGTGACTTCTCCACATAGAAGCGACATTGAGGCGCATAGGTGTGGTGAGGTCTGAGTTGCCGGCCATTGAAGTGGTCCAAGTAGCGCTCGAAGTGAGCTCTGCTCGCGAGAGTTGAGATCTCGCTCAGGATCATTGTCGGCGCAGGTCATGGGCTTGATGCCTCTGAGGTAGTCTGCCTGCGTCAAGATTGACTCGGTGGCCGTTCGTGCCAGCTGACAGCCGCAGAACTCTAAAGGTCGTTCTCCCTCCTTGGTCCAGTGCTTGAAGTTGAAGGAGGTTTTGAGGCTGTCCGTGAGCTGCTGGTACGTTGGCGATGAAGCTAAGCCACAGCCAAATAGATCATCAACGTGGATGCCAACCATTGCTGTCAAGGCCTTGTTCTCATCGAAGAACATGTAGAGGCACTGATCCAAAGGATGGGATTGGAATCCCAACTACAGTAAACGGCGTCTCGCCACTGCAAACCACTGCCTTGGAGCATCAGCCTGTCCGTAGAGGGGCTTGATCAGGCGCATGAGGGTGCCCGGAGGAACGCCGATCAACTCGCAAGCGTCTTTGGGGATCCGGGCCCACAAGATCCTCTGCTGAGGATCACCCTGAAGGAATGCCGTTGCAACGTCGGCAGTCCAGCGCTCCCAGGAAAGCACCTCGGAGATGGCGATGATCACCTGGCGAGAGCTCCTTGACAAAGTGGGTGATGAAGTGTCGAGTTGACCTTGCAGCAGGTCGGGATCAGCAAATCCCTGAAGAACCAGTCTTGCCTTGGCCTTGAGGCCACCTTTCCCATCAGCTGCCCACTTGAGAACGAAGCGAGCGCGCATGACCCTGTTGTGGTCAACAAATTACGGATCGAGTTCGATCTCCCAGACTCCATTCTCGAAGATGCTGGAGAGCTCGTTCTTCTTGCCCTCCAAGAAGGCCAGACGGTCTTCCAGGGACATTTTCTTCTCGTTGAGGTCTGCGCTCTCTTTGACGTTCTTCTTCTTGGGGCTAGCGGCGCCGACTGCTTGCCAAATGTGTCCACGGCCTCTGAGCGTCTTGCAGCGGCTGAGCTTGTCGGAGAGGTCGCCGATGTAATATAGACCAGTCTTCTCTGCACCACTGACGGTGAGGGGGTACAAGGTCTTGCCTGTCCAAGCTTCGCTAAAGTGCTGCTGCTCCTTGGAGTTGACATAGATAGTCCGTGAACCTTGCTGAAGTGTCAGGCCGGTGGTTGTTTTTAGGTAGGAGGGGTCAATGGGAAAGGTCTCCGGCTTGTAGGTTGACTTTCTTCCCCAAACATGGTTTCTGACCAAAAAGCCGTCCTCATAGCTCCACCAGTCTTCGGTCTTGCCGAGGGTGAACTCGTGGGTCTTCTCATCATAGTGCCATCCGGACGGGAGAGGTGTGGACTTGTTGAAGTCAAAGCTGTTGAGGTTGAGGTCCACATCACCATCATCTGTCCGGGCTTTCTTACGAGTCCAGATCGTCTCTTGCTGATCGAAGCGACGGCGTCGATCTTGAAAGGATTCATGAGCTGGTGGTGCGTAGAGAGGATCAACGGTCATAGGACCTGATGAAGATGATGCCTCAGGTGCGGGCACATCGGCTGGTTCAGCCTTTGGAGAGTTCAGATCATCATCTTCAGGTACAGGAAGATCTGCTGGATCGGGACGTGGGTCTTGTTGATCCGCCCTGGCCATTGGAGTTTGGAGGTGAGAAGGTTCACCCATAGGCTCCTCAAAGTCATCATCATCATCCAGTTCAGGAAGTTCTGGATGTCGTTCATGGGGTTGACGTTCCTCCAATTGAGGTTCCAGCTGCGGTGGCTCTGATTGAGCATCCGGAGGTTCTGCTTCTGGAGGTTCTGCTGCTGGCAATGCCTCTGCTCTCGACTGAACTGCCTCCTGCTGCATTGAGCGGTCGAAGGCTTGTTGAATTCCGTCAGGTAGAGCAGGCGAGGACATAGTCAACGGAGCGGGATGATGAGGATCTGGAAGCGAAGGCTCATAGTCACTGACCTCAGGGTCAACCTCATCTATCGATCGCTTGTTGGCCTTTCGCAAATCCACGATGCGAACGGATCTCCTTTGTCTCAGGCCATCAAGGGCTTGTTGAGCTCATTGCACTGCTCCGATCTGTCCGCCATCATTGACCATCTTGCGGACATGTTGAACTCCAGCACGAAGGAGCACAGTGCCGTGAGCGAGCCAGTAGACACTGACGGTGCCTGAGTCCGGGTTGCGTTCCACAGCAACCACTACCGCAGGTCCTCTCCAGCGGATGATGTGGGCCTTGTCGGGAGCGTCATGCCAATAATAGCATCGTTCTCCTGGAAGAAGCTCCTCGTCTTTGCCAGTAAAGCGTCGGAGTAGAGCTCGGCGAAGTTTCACGTCAATCTCAGCTTTGCCACAAGCACTCTGTGCGGCGAACTTGAGGTTGAGCTTTCGATGCAATTTCTCCTGCTCGGTGAGTTGCAACTGCAATGGACCTGTTCGTTCATCCGTCAATAGTCCGGGAAGAGCAGGTTCTCGACCGAGAGCGAGTTGAGTGGGCGTGAAGCCATTGACAAAGCTGTTGTTGTTGAGAGCTGGAACCACCCAAGATAGTGCGTTGTGCACGCCATCCAAACCTGTGAGGTTGTTCTCCATCATGAAGATTGAAACTGCTTTGCGCACAATCTGGTGTCGTCGTTCCACTGTGGATGTCCTGGTGTGAGCTTGACCAGGTGAGATGCGGATCTCGATGCCGTTGGACTCGCACCACTGCATTATAGAGTCAGAAGCCCAACCAGTACCTTCATCCACATAAAGCTGCTTTGGAGGTCCATGATGTTGGATCCAGGCTCTTTCCAAAGCTTTCTGTAGAGATGGGCCCTTTTCGTCCATGACGGTGCGAGCTGCCATAAAGCGGGTGGCGACATCAACCATGACCAAGATGGCGATCTTGCGGGTTTTGTTCTTCTTGCGACCAGGTTCGATTACCATGCCAACCTCGTCCAGGTCAAGCCAGAGGATATCGGCTTGAAGTTAGCTGTTGAACTCTGTGGGTCGATCAAGGTGTCCTGGTGCGTTGCCCTTCTTCACGGAGTGGACCTCGCAGAAAGGACATTCCAAATCCTGAACAGCTGCCAGCACTTTCGGGCTGCAGTTCCGACTCCTCAGGGCATGGAGCAAGACTTCTTTCCGTGGGTGGCCAAGGTTGCGATGAAGTCGCTGTGCGATCCGAGCTGCCTCATGCCCATGGTTGGAGGCCAACTTGCGAAGTGCTCCTGTGAGAGATGTGGGCGTGTGCTCCTCGTCGAACTTGCTTCATGTAGAGCTTCTTGCACATGGTGAGGTGGGTCTCGGCATCGATCTCACGCCGTTCAGTCAAGTCGGCGGCCTGTTCAGCGTTGGAGACGTTGATCTGTTGCATCCTGGACCACAAGGTGCACTTGGGAGACATGAAGATCTCGTCCGGCTCCAAGTCGTCGGCCAATCGAAGCAACTGTTTCCTGTGCGAGGCCTTGTTGAAGTCCCAACCATCTTCCAGACCGAACCTCATGACATCAACGTCGCCATGAGATCGCAGGAGGCTCGTGATCTTGCCTTCACCGGCATAAATTTCCCAGATCAGCTTGCGGCGGCGATGTTGTCCGCTGTCACGAGCATGGAGGATCTCCTGCTGTACGTGCTTCTCTGTCTCCTGGGGTTGGGCTTCAATCCAGGACATTGTCTTCTGAAGTTGTTCGATGGTCTTGCGAGCTTTGCCGGGTAGAAGAGGCTATTGGTCATCTTCCTCGACAATGGCGAAGGTCTCTTCATGGTCGTGGAGCGAGAAGTAGGTTTTGACCTCGGTGGTCATCTCGAAGTAGCGCTCGTGGGCGTTGAGGTCATCAAGAAACTCGTGTAGGCTGATTCCGCTGCCGTGGTCATCTTCACAGCGGAAATCGAAGACGGGCTCTTTGAAGTCACGGGGGTGCTTGACGTCAGCTGCCAAGCGAAGAAGCATGCCCTGTCTGCCACGAGGGAGGTCATGCCATTCTTGATGAAGTAGTCTCATCCTGGACTCGCCGAAGTTGATCTCGGCCTGAAGTGCTTCCAACAGAGGTGTGTCGAAGAGCATGGGCGTGGCCCCGTAGATGATGCAGGCTTGGATGCACCCAAGATGGCCAGAAATCTTGACCGGGAGCTCAACCATCCATCGTGAGTGGCCGGAGGCGTCGCCTCCGAACTTGAAGGACTTGTCGCATCTCTTGAAGGTGAGCTCGTCCATGGGATGGCCGATCATCTCAAGCCACTTGATGTAGCGCAAGGCGTACTCCGAGCCGATCAAGAATGAGCTTGCACCTTGGTCTTGAATGCAGGTGTCCGGCTCGTTCGTCAACCAGCCTCCGGCTCGAACCAACACTTCACCTTCCACATAGGCGTCTTCGACGTCGTAGAAGATGTCCTCGTCCGCAGTGACCTCGCCCTCATCCATGTCGTCGGGGTTGTGCTCGATGTTCATGACCATACTGATCATGGGGTCTTCGAGGTCGATCATTCGTCTCTTCGGAGAGGATCCGCCGGTCTGCTGGACGGATGGGCAGTTGGCCGCAAAGTGTCCGGCTTTGCCACATCGGAGGCAGGTGAGAGCTGCCTTGGTTCGGTTCTTGCCAGTTGGACCTTTTTGAGGATCCTTTAGAACCAATGTTCTTGCCCTTGGACTTGTTCTTGGTCTTTCCACCTTTTGCCGAGCCCTTTGGGTTTTGAGCGATCAACAACTGCCACCACTGGGTTGAATCCTCGGCTTTGGCGAAGTTGGTTGAGCCTTTGCTTGGCATCAATGTAGGTGGAGTAGACCTCATCAAATTCCTCTGTGTCATAGATGTTCTCGGTGTCGTCGATGGTCTCCTCATAAAATGTACCATCAGGGAGTTCGGGTTCAAACCATTCGTCAGGTTCCTGGAGGTCGCCTTCCTCATCAGCGTCCATGTAGTAGGACTTCTCAGCCTCGAAGAACTCTTCAGCTTCATCATCCCAGGCCATGTGAATGCCTTGGGGTTTCTTCCATCGAAGTTGCTGCTGCTGTCGGCGGAGGAGATGAGGAACATGAATCTGGTGGTAATCCTGTCCGAACAACAGGAAGAGGGATTGTTCAATTGCGCCCAAGGTCAGGACCGACCCAATCTGGGTCTGCACCATTTGCTCTTGTTCACGTGTCAGACCTGCTCGTTTGAGCAACATCCATCCTGTAACCTCTTCGGGGAGGTCGACCTGGTGCTTGGTCACCTGGCGTAGCACCTGGTGGAACTCAGTGGTGTACTCGAGGAGGGTCTGGTGCTGTCGGCGCTTGAGCTTGAAGAAGAATGCCTCGAAGTTGTTCGGCATCTCGACCTTGTCGTCGTAGGACCATTAGCGGTCTAGGCGCTTCAACAAAATGTTGAGGCCTTCATCGGACCCCAGCTCCTTCAAATCCAGGTCTTCACATTGAGTCCAGCTGGAGCCTTCCAAGGTCGACAGCGCGTTCAGTGCCACTTCGGTCTTTCGACCTTGGATTTCCAACTTCCGGGCGTAGAGAAGGACCCGGCGCCGCCACTCCTTGTAGGAGGTCGTGGTGTTCTCGAAGCGCGGCACGAAGTTGTCCTTCAGGTCTCGGCTTCCGCCAGCGCCATTGGCTTGTCCAGCTGCCGCGAAGGATGGGTTTTCCCTTCGCGAGGGAGAGCGTCCAGCCATCAGCGCGCGGGAGCCGTCACGGCTCCGCTACCAATGTGAAGTATGGAGTGAATACCTATCACGTGTGACCGCTCGAGGTGTCAACGTGGAAACAAGTAAGCTGCATGCGACTCTTTTGCGTAGCGAGCATGAATGCTCAAGGGGCCCCTGTGGGCCAAGTTAGTGAACCAACGAGCAGCGGGCGGCATATATGGAAACCGCTCATGCCAAAAGCTCTGTTCTGCTGTGTTCCTTTTCCATTGGGTGGCACCCAATTCACAGTCTATATTTAGATGGAATTTGATTTTTATGAAGGATCCATGAATATGCGTGCGACTTAAACCGGGTAGATTGATTCGTCTATATTAATTAATTAATTAACTAAATTAATTAATTAATTAATATATAATTTAATTAATTAATTAATTAATATATATAATTGTAATATTATATATATTTATTAATGATTAATTTATGAATATATATTATTATATATAATAATATAGGTTGAACATATATATATTATTTGAATTTGAATATATTCTGGATTGCATATATTTAATTTGATATATTATATTGTGAATCTAAATATATTAAAAAAATAATAATATTAGATTTTTTAAGGGATTGGCATGGATAGAGGGAATCCGGTTAGGTGACGAAATCCCTTCGTCAATATATGATGCAATTAATCTTCGAGGAATTGATTTCCCGAGCATCGAAATTTCCATTCGGGTCAAACGACTATGAATTGCTTCGAATCCTTTCAGAGCAAGCAGATTTTGATTCCAGCCAACAGCGGGGTATTATTTACAATGGGATCAACGAGAAGACCCTGAAGGCATCAGCTCGAGATCCGTTTTCTTCAGAGGAAGCCTCAATTTTGATCCAGAAGATCCATGGCCTGGCCGCGCAATCCGACCTGATTCATCAGTTTTCGGCCCTGAAACCAATGCCCTAGGATTCGACAGTCAAGGACTCAGTTGTGGTGCCCTGGCGCCTGGACATATCCCTCAGGGGCTCGGCAGCACAGGAATTGCACGAATCCCTGATGAAGCTGACCGGAAGCGGTTTGACGCAGCTGATATTTGTCCGCATCCGTCCGTCGACGTTGTAAAGATCGCCTCTGGTATTCAGGCCATAGCTGTTCGATTGACAAGATGAGATCAGCCATCTTGGCCTTGTCATTGGGGATTGCTAGTAATGTCTGCTACATGAATTCAGCCTTGCTGGCTGAGCTTTGGGCTTGTTGTATGGATGATACGTTTGATTGGCAGGACACTGGATTGTGGCAGGCCTCCTTGCTCCGCATGTTTGCACAGACCTCCATTCAGCAGTTGGTGATTGACGAGTAATGTTTGGGCCACCTTTTGAACCCATGGTTTGCGTTCCATGCAGCGGGGAAGCAGCATGATTCAGCCGAGTTTATTGATTGGCTTCGACACGCCTTCCACGGGGTTTCGAGGGAACACGGAAAACCTGTTTCCACTTGGGAAGCAAGGCTTGAAGCCACAACGGAGGATTCAGGCCTGCTCTATGCACTTGCGCTCTTTCAGCAGACGAAACAGGGCGACTACACGATTCAAGATCTTGTGAATCTTTGGCATGACCAAAATCCCTTTCATCGCGGTTTTTCTGACTCCACCACGACTATATGCCTTCAAGTGAACAGGTTCCCAACCTTAGGAATTCGATCTTCACAGCCTGTCCGCTGGAATCGTGTGTCAGTCCACTTGCCATATTTCATCCATGCAATTGGTTGGACCGTGCGATGGAAACATGTTGAAATAGTTTCTGTCGTGGTTCACCGAGGTATTGAACCGCTGAATGGCCACTACCAGGCCTGCCTCCGGACAGGAGGATGCAGGTTCTTGACAGATGATTGGAGCCGCGCAATCCCATGCGCTCACAACCCTGATTTGGAACAGGACTTGTACTTGATTTGGATGATTAAAAATACACACCTCACGAATGCATGGAAAAGTTTGGTCAATTGTAATCCATTCGTGCCGTTTTCGTCCAGCCAAGAGCCTTGAATTTTGATGATGCCGCCCGGGGCGCTAGATGCGCGAGACGCAGCCGATCTATTGATCGAAGCCCAACACGGGCAGAGCTCCCTCTGCCGGAAGAATAATAATAACAAATTTGAATATTATTTATAATTTTTATATAGCTTAATATATATTCTATTATATTAATATTATAAATGAATAATTGGTCTTGTATATTTAAATATATCTATTTTAGATTAAATAATTCGATTAATTCTTTTTATTTTAGAAATAATTTCTTGATAATATATATATATTATTTAATATTGCATATATTTTTTATATTTTCTTGAAATTGCAAAATAATTATCGTTATTTGGTATTGATATTTACGCATTATACATAAATTGATGGAGCATAGATATGTTGATCTTCTTAGGAAATATTATGGGTCTTATAATGGTATAGTGACCAGATGGATTTTTTATGGTAATTAATTATATTATTATTTATTGGGATTTAGTAGATTTTAAACCAAAAGGGGTTGGTAGAAGTTGCAAATCTTATTTCTTTTAAGCTTCTTTATATTGGCGTCCCAATATCTTCTTGCTAAATATAAATGATGTCGAAGCAATGGATCAGAGATTGATTTCATTTTTCAAATGCATCATCCTTTGGGAGAGATGGCAAATCAAAAGGACCATGAAGAATCTCTGATATGACATTGTTGGGTGGAATCGTGCGAGAT